TTGGTTAATGCTAAAAAGGTCCCCAACAACAAGTTTAAAATAATCGCACACCAGAAAGCACGCACTGTTGTCAAATGTGTGATACAAAATAAAAACATTCTTTTTGCCTTCATTTATTTATTTTTTTTATAATGTAGTTCACCAATCATCTTTGTTTTATAGTTAACGTACTGAACAGAATTTTTCTTTAAAAAATATGCATTCTTAGCAGTTTATTTCAATACTATTGTATTATCAGCTGACTTAGTTATTGTAAAACACTTCATCATAATCATAAATTGGCGTTGATTTGTAAGAAGCCAAAAACTCTGTTTTTCTCCCCCAATAATTCCATTTGAAAGTGTATAAGAATATATTATGACAAATGCTAACATTAGCCTAAAAACACAATAAAAATAACTGCATGTCAACAAATTAGTAAAAAAGGACGTAATAAAGGCCGCATTTGTCAAAAGTGTAATTAACACCAAAGCCATTGATTTGCTTTCACGAATAGTAAACAATTATCTAAGTCCATTAGTTAACGTACGGAAAGTTTCTCTATTCGAATGCGCATTCTTGGTTGTTTATTTTATCCACCCTTGTTGTTGGTTGTTTTCTGCGTTTAGAGGGGCCTGACTTAACGCCTTTTCCTCTTATCAACGCTTCTGATAAGGAATAGACGCGGACAACTTATCTTTCTCAGAGTTGGTATTTGTTCTCTGTGAGATGTACTTCATCTTGTAGTAATCACACGTTCTTGGCTTTCGACAGTAATTGGCTTTCTCGAGAAATTCGCCAACCTTAGCGTAGAGATTTTGGCTTTCCCAAATGCGAGGAAGGATCATTGTTCATTACATTTTCGCAGTCCGTATTTTTGTCTCTGTCGGGCAGTAGATAAAAGGCAATTCGTTTATGTCGTCAACTTTGATTGCTGACATTATCGCAGGCGTTTAAGGTGATGCTATTTTTTTTTTCCCCTTCACTAATAGAAAAAAAAATTGTGATAAAATAGATTCAAACATTCCAAGTTTTCATTTAAGGGTTCTTTTTGATTAATACATTTTTTGATTTATAAATAATTTAAAGATTAACGTAAATGTTTTTCACAAGTCAATTTTATTTTCCCATTTATTTAGAATAATTTTGTTATTTGATATACTGAAATACCGTACATTTTTAGTTTATTCAGTTATAATTATTTATTTAGTTATTATTATCTAAATTGAGAAAACAAATGAAATTTAAATTATCTAGTTAATTTCGCATTTTTTAATAATGTTATTTTATCTAGCTATAATTTTTGAGCTTTTTTGTGTAAATAATTTACACTAAAATAAATCTGGTAAATTTGTGGCACTAGACTTTTTATATTGAGAAAGTTATTAAATTCCCCTGGACGCAAGAAAAAACTATATATTGTTTATTAAATTTTCGCAGTCAGTTTTTTTTTTTTTTTTGGTCTCTGCCGGGCAGTAGATAAAAGAAGATTGCCTTATGTCGTCGTCAACTTTGATTGCGGACATTATCGCAGGTGTTGAAGATGATGCATTTTTTTTTAGTTTTGAACCGATTGAGTTCCATCACTAAAAGAAAAAAAAGACAGTGAAAAAATAGTTTCAAACATTCCAAAATTTCATTTATGGTTCGTTTTACTTAATATAATTTTAGATCTCCAAATAATTTAGAGATTAAAACTGGCTTGTGAGAAACATTTACACTTATATCCATTTATATAGTATGATAGTATGATCTTCCATTTATATAGAATGATTTTGTTTTTCGATATCAAATAATGAGCATTTTTAGTTCATTCAAGTAAGATCTAAATGAAAAAAAATTAATTATCTATTTATTACATTTTATTTAATTATAATAATTGACATTGTTTTTGTTTAGCAAAATTAGAGCTGGAAGATTTTTTTAATTTTGCAGAATTTTGTATATTTTTTATTATGTAAAAAGTAGTTATATGTTTAGCATTTTGATATTATTACGCTTTATAAAAAAATGAAAATATTAAACATATTCTAAACAAAGCCAAGAACATATATTTTCTACTGGAGTTAATTTTTTAAATCGTTCCATATACATAAGAGCTTTCAACTTCAAGTTCGTCATGGATAAATTTAAGTCTTTCGTTTCCAAGTTATTCATTTATTTTGAGATTAGGAAAACAATTAGAAAATTTAAATGAAAGCGTTATTGAGATTAAAATAACATATATTTCCGAAATTAAAATTTTTTTTCATCCAATTGCATCACACTATTTATATTTCGAGATTACGAAAACCATTTGAAAATTTACGAGGAAATGAGATAGAATATTAAAATTGCAATGGATGTTTCTGAAAATAAATTTACTTATTTTAATTATGATCTTCCTAATTTTTTGAAATCAGTATTTTTTAAAATGAATCATTCTTTGAAATGGCGTAATACGCTTTGGAGAATGGTGTAATACGCTATTGTTTGAAGCAGAAAATGTTAAATCAAGACTTTTATTTTTTTAGAGCTACGCTGAGCATTTTAATTATACGTTAATTTAAACATTTTGTACATCAATATTTTTTTACACGCTTCATTCTTTAAAATGGGGCAGTATACTATGAGTTGTAATTTTGTTTGAATCACAATTAAAGAGGCATTTTTGTTTAACGGTATAAAGAGCAATTTAGAACTTCTATTTTTCTACTGTTTGAATTTATTGGATATTCGAATTCGAATTTCGAATTCGAATTTATTGGATATTAGTATTTTTTTATAATAGTCATTATTTAAAATAGTGTATATCGAAATTTAGTTGAGATTTAAAAAAAAAAAACATTTATGAACGCAATTTAGACGAAAATAAAACAGAATTTTAAATTTTATTTCACAAACCTAACACCAATTTAAACGTTAATTAAGCATCAATTTAAACGTTCATTAAGGAATAAATCTTCAGATAATTACGAACTATACGTGCAGGTGTCTCTGAGATCTTTCTGTCTTTTTTTAGGAGATCTTCTGTTTTATTAGTCTCCTATAGTTCATCGAAATTTTTAAAGTTATTTTCTTTAGTATAAAATATCGTAACTTAAAACACATGTGAAATAAATAATATCATTAAACTTCTTTTCAAAAAAGTTTATTTCCTCAGTAAATACAGTGCCATACTTTCGTAGTAAATTTACATCTTATGTTATATTTCTCTGTGGAAAAAATTTCGTGTCAGAAAATATTTCAAATTATCTTCTTTAAAAATTTATGAAAGTATATATACACATTTTCAATATTCGGAGAGTTGAAATTTAACTAAGCTACTCAAATTTCCATTGTTATATTTACGTTACCGGCATTGTATGGAATGCCTAGGCATTGTATGGAATGCCTAGGCATTGTATAGAATGCCCAAAATTAGCCGGCGAAGTATGAAATGATTTATATTTCGCACATTGCCTAGGCATTCTATAGAATGCCAAATGAGAAACTGGCAAAGTACACAATACATCTCCGATTCGTCAAAATGTCATTCAAAAATGATAAATTCAAAACGTCATCCGATTTGATATTAATTTATTCGTGGATATAATTACATTTATTCGATATTTTAATACTTTCTGACGATAGATTAGAAGAAACATCAGTGTAGGGTATACCGGGCAAATGTATACCGATCAGTGGCACTTGACCTTAAAAAAACATCAGTGTAGGGTATACCGGGCAATGGCACTTGACATTAAAAAAACATCAGCTTAGTGTATACCGGGCAAATGTATACCGGGCAGTGCCACAAGACCTAGTATATATTTCGGACATTTACCAAAGGTCTAGTCATACTAGGTCTAGTTAAGTGCCATTGCTCGGTATACATTTGCCCTGCATACCCTATACTGATATTTTTTAAGGTCAAGTGCCATTGTCCGGTATATATTTGCCCGGTATACCCTGCACTGATGTTTTTTTAAGGTCAAGTGCCATTGCCCGTTATACATTTGCCCGATACTCCAAACACTGATGTTTGTTCTAATCAATCGTCAGTAAGTATTAAAATATCGAATAAATGGAGTTATATCTACGAATAAATTAATATAAAATCGGATGTAATAAATATTTCGGAAATTCACCAAAGCGACTATGTGATTGTCAACATTCGCCAGTGAAAGTCAGCAACCACCGATTTCGGTCAATCACAGTAACATGCATATCATTTACATAATAACCTCATCAGGACGTTTATTTCATACTTTGCCTAAATAGCATTTGGCATTCTATAGAATGCCTAGGCATTTTATACAATGCCTAGAGAAAGTATGTAATACTTCTCACATTTCTTACTTTGCCTAAAAACCTCCGGCATTCCATACAATGCCGGCGATTCACACTTTGCCGGCAACATTTATATTAAACCGAGAAGAAAATTGTTGTCCTTACATCCACAATCTGTTGCTTAAAGCATCATTCTTACAATGGGTATAATATGTTGTGAACTACATAAAACAGTAAATTGCTTATACACACAAAATATTTACATAAATTGTTTACAAAATATATGTAGCGTTCTATAATACATAGTTTTTATTTCTTAAAAAATATCAAAGGTAGTTTATCATTTCCATTAGAATTAGAAAAATGTTTAAAAAGTATCAAATTTAAAAGTTTTAAGAGTTCAACAAACTTTTAAAATTTCTAAAAAATCCCTTTCCAAAACAGTTTCTTTTTAAGGAAGCAGTTTTTAGTGCCGAAATTCTTTTGAATTCTTACATGCAAAAAACATCCATAGTTTTCAAACATTAAAACATCCGTAACTTTATAGTTTGCATTCACACACGAAAATTTTAAATTTATATGAAAAATTCAAATTTATATTGTGTTCTGAAATGTTTCGTGAGCGCAGCACATAAATGGCAAAGTCTATCAGCTCTTTTTCAGAAAGTACACCCAAAGCCACTTAGAAAAAACTTTTCTGGTCATATCTTCTAGTCAGTCATCTGCTCATAACTTATCTGATCAGAGCTTTATTATTTTTTTTTAACAAATTTTTAGTTGATGGTTTCAGTTTTCAATTTCTGTTCACGGTCTTAGCACACATTTCATGTATTAAAATTGGTAATATTTTAAGTTTGCAAAACGCACAGTACTTGATCTTGTCGTTTATCCAGAGACTTTTATCCAAGACAGTACTAAGTAAAAGTAGCTGGACGAGACTTTTATCTGTGACTTTTTTCTAGCTACAGTCAAAATGACCAACCTCACCTTGGTACCACAAGAGTTGAATATTGGTCTTTTTAATATTATTCCGCATGGATTATGTTGCTAAAAGCTAAGATAGTATCTTAAAAAGTTTTAAGAAAACGACGCATTGTAAAAGTTTCACATTTGCAGTGGCAACATAAATTTATCTGAAGTCACACTGTCACACCTTTGTAGGATTTCAAATCAAGAAAATGTTCCAAAATCCCGATAATGATGCAAAGCCCCGATATTTTTGGGGCATATCACTTACTTACGACATTAAAGTTTTTTGCCAGTAACTAAAATAATTTTTAAAAAAAGTGTCAATGTTTCTGATGGACGTTTGCTTTCAAAACATATCAATTCATAACCTTTGAGCTTTCGCACCTTTGAGTGCTTCCTTTTTCAATGATTAGTTGATGGGCCGGACTTTTGTCGATAATAATTGAATCTATGCAACCAGAGAAACCGCTATAATAATCAGATGGCAATCCTAGTGGTAATTTTGGAGCGCCACCTAAAGTAAATAAAAATATATATATAGTTTCTGATTTGCAGTGGTAAGTCTCAGCATTATTAAAACTAGGTATATAATATATAAATAATTCGATTTATATAATTTGTAATTTATCTATCGTAATTTGTATAATTCGATACATTTGTTAAGCATTTCCTACAATTTTTAGTCAAACTTTTCTAAACATGAAACATGCAATGGCTCGTGTTTAAATGAATGTCTTAAAAATTTCACCGCTTATTTTTTCAAAACTATATATTTTACACTTAAATATATGATGCTTTCTTAAAATTCCGTTGTGCTTATGATTTTCTTCAGTTGCATGATGATCTCCTAATGTAAATACTGCAAAATACCAATATTATTCAAAATCCTACAAAAAATTATAGTGCGTTTAAAAAAACTAATAAAATTACCTTTTTTGAAAATGGCGGATTGTTGAATTGTATTAGTATAATTTTGAAAAACAAATCTAGAATAATGAACACTGTATTTCGTTTTTAAATTCCTTGCATTTTATACATGCTTTGAACTATTCGCTTATAAGGCGAAAGATAATTTACAATATTTTTATTATTTCACATTAAATACATATTAACTTCTTTATAAAAAAATACATTATTATTTCAGATTACAATTTTTTTATATATAAAATAGGAGACTAAGCAGGAAATAGTAAGAGTCGAAAAAGTATCAAAATATGCATTAACCTGCATTTTAACATTTTTAACAAATGACTACTTTTTGTAAAAATTTTCTCATTGTTAAAATCAAAAAGCTAGACATTACAATAAAGAGAATTAACCAGCATTGTTTACTTCGGTTACATGTTCTACATTGTTTATTCCTCTCTTCATCAACGGAAATCAATGTAAGCTTCTATTTTCGAAGACGCGAAACCAAGTTTAATTGTTTTCCAACATAAAGACTTTCTTAATGCAATACATCTTTGAAAACAATCGAAATTTCTAAAGAATGCTTATGAAAGATTCCGGTATCTCATAATAAAGAGGAACGATATATTGTATTTCTAATAATGAATAATCTTTAGGGAATATACAATAGAATGCATAATTTTTCTATTTCTCTGTGCGTTTTTGATAGATTCAGTAAAATAGAATAAGGTAATAAATAATATAATAAGAGCATATTATAAAATTTATTTATAAATTTACGTATTCGGTTTTTTAAAAGTCACTCAAATATCCTTAGTTAGCAGCTAATGATATTTCAAGTAGTTCTATGACTATTAGGTTGACCATAACTTAAACAATTATTTAAGTTTTTAAGATATTTTATTTTGTGAAGATGCTCACGTGATCGTACTCAATCGTCAATGGGGTGTGAATGTTCGTTTCCTAGTTATGAAAATCAATCAATGTAATTAATATAAAAAATTATTCGGCATAGTAAAACTAAAATGACGTAATATTGTAAGGAAACCACGCAGTACCGTATAATAAAACAAGTACAAATAAATAAAGTATACTAACCTATCCATAAGACCCCATCAGTATGTAAGTCTATTGATCCTGATTCTGATACATTTGAAACAAAATAATTTCTGTCCACTCTTATTTCTCCAAGACGCTTTCGCCTAAAATAATTGAAAAGCAAAACTATATTAATGTTAACAATATACTATAGTATATTTTATCAAATTTAGACGTCATTACGTCACACAGAATGAGTGTTTCAAGTAGAGGTTAAGGTACATCAAAAGCATAAGGATTGAGATTTGCACCACAATCCCTAGCCTAGCCGGAAATATGCTGCCAGGGGAGTTTCATTATAACAGACAGGTTGTGCGTGCGCATTTGAACTGCAATTTTTATTTATTAGCTAAAATTTGGTTAATTTCATTAATTATTGCTAATTATCATAAATTTCATTAATTATTGCTTATGTTAATGACATAAATTTTTGCTAATTTCCTAAATTATTATGTTTGAAAATTGCATTCTAATAGCTACAGATGTAGCTGTTTTGTTGTAGATTATTAATTTCGCGACTAACTTGCAGAGCTCGTATGTAGCGTCATTTTCGATGATAAGTTGCTCTGTGATTTGCAATATTAATGTTGTACTTAACTTCCTTTCTAAATTTACAAATGAAATTGGAAATGAATAACCCTGCATATAAAGTATAACGTTTATATTATTTCATATCAAACAATTTTAATATTAAAATAACTATCAGCTTTAAATTTTTGAATTACACTGGTGTAAGAAATTCAATTAAATTGGAGATCTGGTCGTTTATCTCCAGAACTACTTGGATTGATTTTAATGAAATTTGATATGTACATACATATGATACAATACAAAACAAATAACCATTCAACAATTGTAATTCAACAATTGCATGATCACGTGTAACACTCGTTGGAGTCGGAAGGTATGAAATTTGCCACAGGACAATTCAGGCCAATTGCCACAGGAAATGTTAAACTGCCTTATTTCAAGTATGAAACCACGCTGCAAGGCCTGTATATGTGTCAGAGGGGGCCCTATCCCCTATTAACTCAACTTTTTTTGTTTATTCTGCAAGCGCTGTTTCATATTTACAGACCTTAATGAGTGATGAGCACGATCATGCGTGTGTATTACAATTGTTGAATGGTCATTTGTTTTGTATTGTATCAATGTATGTACATATCACATTTGATTAAAATTGGTCCTGTAGTTCTAGAGATAATCGAACAAGTCTGCAGATTCTCTTAATTTCTTACACCAGTGTATATTGTCAAAGAAATTTTTAAACAATTTTTAGTAGCAAGTAATGAATAGTGTAAGAGACTTTATACCTGTGAAATGAAACTGAATGCCACAATCCATCATCCACTTTTTGATCAACCCTCACAGACAGAGGATGCTTTTGTTTTCCAAGCTTGAAATTGAGTTCTGGAAAACCATCAACAATTGCAGCAGCCAGATAATCATTCTGCAGATCGGATCCCTCATTTGTCCAAAACAGTAAACCAGAGGAAGAAGTAGTTCGAAATCGAACTTGGAGTCTGTTTGATCTGCGTCTTCTGGACCTATCAGATGCATAGTAGTATCAGCAAGTACAGTAAAATCTGTGCTCGCGAGACAACAATTTGATAATCCACATCAAAAAGTGGTTGACTTATAAAGAAGGGAGAAAAAGTTCGCAATCGAACTTTGAGTTCGTTTATTCTTAATAATTAAGAGCATTAATAGTAAATAGTGTAAACAACACAACTTTTAATGGTGTTTTTGTAGCAGTGCATTGAGGAACAAATTCCGCTGTACTGTTAAACTTTAATTACTCGTATTTACTTTGATAATCTCTAAAACGCTATAACATTTCAGTTAAAAACTAGTTATTACCCATTGGCAAAATGGGTGTTGTTTTGGGTTTGATGGCTTGCGCTCCATATTTGGACGTCATCACACTTTTCAACTGTGTTCAAGAGTAATAGTAAACAGTGCGCATGCGTTGTATACGAGACCGCTGCTGTTTGACATTTTTTTTTAAAAATTCTTTTTTCTTTCTTTTTCTTTTTACCAGCTTGTATTTTTAATGTTTTTACGTAAGATTAATTTTAAGTATTTTTATGTTCTATTTATGATTAACTTGTTCATAATTACTGTCTTGGCTGATGAATTAATATGAATATTGAAGAAGGAAAAGAACTCTGTAACGTCTTAATTGTATGTATATTTGTATATTTGTTTGTAATTGAAAACCAATCCAGCCCTTTGAACGCCAAGAGGGCAGAAATCAATAGAAGCAGATTTTTTCAACCCATGACTTGAAGTGTCGTGGCTTTTATGACAGTCTGTACAGGTTAAAATAATTACCAATGGGTAACCTGTATTTGCTATTAAAGCGATCACATTTTAATAGCTATTTTTTAAATTATTTATTTATTTTAATTTTTTTAGCTTTTTTTTTATATAGTTATTTAACATAGGAAATAATTTAAAATAAATCTTGATAGATTTTATTGCTCTCAATCATTATAATCTGTAAGCTTACTTTTCAGAATAAAAGAATTTGTTTTTGTTCTATTTAATTTATTTGATGCAATTCATTCTGATGATATTTTATGATATTTGAGTGATAATTTATGAAAGTAATGGTTTGAAAATCTAACACTTCAACACTTCGAAGCAGAATTTTTTTTTGAAAAAACATATTTTTCCTGTTTTTTTTTCTTCATTATTTTGTATTAATTTAGGTCAAAATAAGTAAGAAATATTATATTTTAATAATCTATAATTATGAAACACAGCATGAAAAACGGGTGTAGTTTTATTCTGCGTAGAAGGTAAAATCATCCAAACACAGCTCACTTCCAAACTTTTCAAAATTGCACTTATTTGCAGTTATTTAGATCTAAGAGAAGCAGTTATTTATTATTGAAACTTCCTTAATTTACAGAATCTTTTATTGATAAATTTCTGAATATGAATGAGAAAAGCTACTTTTTTATATTTTATATTTTGGAACAAATATAAAATAGACTTTTTTTAGTCACTATTAGACTACTTTTTATTCTTAAATTCCAAAATATATTTTGGCTTGTAATTAGAGCACCAGAATAAAAATATAAAAAGGACACCTGTGTCCCAACTGTGTCAAAAGGTTAAGAAGTTTACTAGTGTGTTGAACCATATTATGATTCAAATTAGTTGTAATTTTAATATGGGTGCTGAATTAAACCATATTACCGCGCAAATCTGTCCTGTTTAAATCTAACTACAAAATACAATGTTTTAACTTTAATTGAGATTCGATACTATGTAAAAGTTGCAGCAAGTTTAAAGGGTGTTAGGTTTAAGGAAACTAAATTATGACTAAAGTCCCTAGCGTTGACAATTCTGATCCCCACAATAAATAGTGAAAATTTCAATATTTTCGCCATTCACTTTGAAGCATGAAATATTTCTTTCACTCCTTAAATACACTCCATGATTTGTGACATTGGACTCCTATAATTCGATACTCACGCCTAGAGGGCAGCACCATTCAGCTGGTCACAAAATAGTCTGGCATTTCTCATCTCTTACGAAAGAGGAAACAACCAGATAAAGTAATTAAACCATTTACCCCGGTTCATTTAATAAATCATAACTCAACCACAACATACTTCAAAGCCCGTTACCTAACGAAGAACAATCTACGTTTTAATGTCTTTTTACGGTGTTGAAACCATGTTAGTTGTAAATGGTTAAGGAAAACCATAGTGTTGTATTCACGGTTTTTTAACCATACTAGTTGTAAACAGTTTAAAACTGTCAGGATGAAAAATGTCTTTTACAGTAAGCTTTACGGTTTATTGGATGGACGGCTATTAGCTATTTTACCGTAATTTTAGAATGAAATTTCCAAGTACAGTTTTGTTACTGCACCTTCTTTTCTGAGAATATAGTTATTCACACAGACAAAAAATAATATTAAATTTATATTCATTTCGCTTTGATATTCAAAGAAATAAAATGTAAAGTGTTAAAAGCTTTCAAAATTTAAAAAAATAAATATTTTTAATTTAAAAGCATTTAATTCATTTGAGAAAAAAAGAGATAGTCTTTAAAATGAAGTGGGGTAAAGTGTAGCTTACCCTTTAGTGTTGGAGTAAGGGAAAGTAAGAAACGTTGTTCCGTTAAAAGATATTGCTCGTAGTAAGCCATTTCCACTAATACCTAAATTAAATAAAGAATTGTGTAATTTAAAACATAAAAAACGTACTAGTTTCCATTTTTTTGCTCTTAAAAACTATAAGACTTACATAAATATTAAATTAAAAGATATTTCAAGACGTATGCGCTATATTTTAAACTTTATATTGTGCAGTCCGCCAAAAAGTGAAAGAAGCACTCTAAATAGCTTAATCTAATGGTCAATTTTTCAGGTACTAGGACTCAGTTGTTCGAGGGAGTGAACTAATTAGGTGAATTATTTAATATGCTAATTAGGTAGTTCAAAAGGTATTTAAACATATGAAATCGGACACAAAAACAAACTTTCTCTGAATGAACATACCTTTTTTCGTCGGATTTCTGACTCCCGAAATGTAAGAATTAGCCACAATCTGGGAAATATGGCTATAGAAAGCGGTCCAAAAATAAAAAACGGTGCAAAATTTACATCGCGGTGAAAGCGGTCCAAAATTTACACCCCTTAATGTTAATTTTACTTTTTTGCATATTTCGCCATATTTCGAAAAAACCTTTTATGCGAATTGAAAAACATTCGGACACAATTGCGAAATTCTTTTGTCCACAGACAATTCTACACACATAAAACAATAAAATAATATTTATTTTTATTTAATAATAGTCAAAGCAATTTTAAATTGTAAGATATCCAAATATTTGCATTTTTTTTTAGTATGTATTTTTTTAAGGAAAATTACAAAATTTGGACGAAATACGTCGAATAATTTCTAATTCGATTAAATTCAATTTCTCAGGAACTATTTAACTGATTTCCTCCTAAGTTTGTATTTTGCCAAATAAAATTATATGCTTCAAAAAAAATTTAAAAATTTGTATACCTCAGAATTGAAAATTGTCTTGACAATTATTTAATAAAATAATGAGAAAAAAAATAATAAATAATTATTTAAAACTATGTTTTGCATGGAATTATCTTTCGATAAACAAATTTTATAAGAACGTGCAAATTTTTTTCAATTCATTTAAAAAGTTCTTGAGGAATGGAGGAACACGCAAAAAGTAAAGTTAAAGGGGTCCAGATTACGGCGTTTCTACTTTGTCTGCACACCTTAGAATGAGAAAATATGGAAATGCGATGGTTCAGATGAGAGAGCGTTCGCCTTCCAATGAGGTGAACCGGGTTCGAATCCCAGCGATCGCTGTTAGTTACGAATCCGCATCCGGTTGCACCGNTAGAAGAATACACACATAAAAAAATAAAATTATATTTATTTTTATTTAATAATAGTCAAAGCAATTTTAAATTGTGAGATATCCAAATATTTGCATTTTTTTTTAGTATGCATTTTTGTATGGAAAAATACAAAATTTGGACGAAATTCGTCGAATAATTTCTAATTCGATTAAATTCAATTTCTCAGGAATTATTTAACTGATTTCCTCCTAAGTTTGCATTTTGCCGAATAAAATTATATGCTTCAAAAAAATTTAAAAATTTGTATACCACAGAATTGAAAATTGTCTTGACAATTATTAAATAAAATAATGCGAAAAAAAACAATAAATAATTATTTAAAACTATGTTTTGCATGGAATTATCTTTCGATAAACAAATTTTATAAGAACGTGCAAATTTTTTTCAATTCATTTAAAAAGTTCTTGAGAAATGGAGGAACACGCAAAAAGTAAAGTTAAAGGGGCCCAGATTAAGTCGTTTCTATTTTGTCTGCACACCTTTGAAAGAGAAAATATGGAAATGCGATGGTTCAGGGGAGAGAGCGTTCGCCTTCCAATGAGGTGAACCGGGTTCGAATCCCAGCGATCGCTGTTAGTTACGAATCCGCATCCGGTTGCACCGACCGTAGAGCTGACTTGAAATATCCTCAGTGGTAGACGGATCACGAGTTAGAGTCCCTTTGCCGTCAGGCTAATCGTTGGAGGTTCTCGTGGTTTTCCTCTCCATGTAATGCAAGTGAGGATTAGTTCCATCAAAAAGTTCTAGAAGTTCCCTTGTCTTCTGGATTGAGTTTAAAATTACAAGGCTACGGAGTTGAACATTAGTAGTCGTAAACCTAACAATCGGGTCGGCTGTTCCACGACGGTTATAAAATGATATAAAATTAGAAAATATGGATTATTATAATATTTTCCCCTATCAACAAGTGTATTTTGTGAAAAAACTCATTGTTATGAAATTAAATAAATGTATACTTACGTTTCTCACATTGTTTTCCTGTATACTTTTGCGGACATCGACACTTAAAAGAAGTGAATTCAGGAATACAGACGCCACCATTTAAACATGTTCCATGTGCGCATGGTTCTCCTTTAAAAGCTTTTACTCCAACAGACTTCACCGCTCTTTCATTTAAATTACTCCAATCTTCACCATTAAACACAATTTTTTGAATTGCACCATCAAATCCTATGGTTATTCTCGAATCTCTGTGCACATATTTAATATGGGGTACACCGCCTATATACAGTGGTAAAGAGAGGTTTAATTCTGCCAGAGGAGGCTGTAAATGAAATAAAAAAAATTGTTGAAAACATCTATTCAAATAAATCAAAGTAATATTACCGTTCATAACTATATAAATTGCTTTATCTTCAAAACAACATTTCATTTTAATTGATAAACTATTAAAAATGCTTCCTTTCTAAGTATTTATCCATTACTGTTTTTGTTTTATACCATTTAAGCAAGGGTTGCGGAAGAATTCAGAGAGGAAAATATATTCAGTCAATATTCATTCAAACTAAGGAAAAGATATTCAGTGTGCCATTCTATTTAGATTTGTATTTTGAACACTCGATGTTCAGATAGATTATAATTAACCTTTTGCTTACAGCTGGTACAAAAAGTGAACCACATGTGATAGTACAACATAGAATACCGTAGGCAAAGGGTTAAATATTTCTTATTAATTTTACTTACTTTTGATTTACCAACTACTGTACTGTCATTGTCTACCTTCAATGTTCCTTGTCTTCTGAGACGGCTAATTTTAATAGAATGCCATTCATTTAGAGAAATTTGCCTGCGGGAACTGGAACAAAAAGGATGTTAAAAATAAATATTGCATTTTATAAAATATATACAAAATGCTAAAGTGCTATCTTTAATTAGTTTGCAAAATAGTTAATGTCCCTACTTCTAATGATGCTCCGAGCGAAATTATATTATAATTAATTTCCCGATAAAATTACTGCAGTTCATTCAATGACTTTTATAAAGGTAAATAAGGTGAACAAAACTCGATGGGTTTTTATTTTGATTCATTGATTTTAAATGTGTGAGTTTTTAAAATTTAACCTAATAGACTGCCTTGACAAAACCTAAACGAATGCAATGACCTTAAAAATTTTCATAAAACTACTTTTAAACAAATTGCTATATAAGCAACAAACATTTTATTATATTTTAAATGAATGGTTTTCATGCCATGCTCTAACGATGACAAAATTACCAAATTTTTTAATGTTTTATAAAACCCTATTTTATTTCAAATTTTGCCAAAATCATCACCAAAGCTCTTCATTAAAAATTATCGAGCTTTTCAGTTGGTTCCATTAAGCCAGATATATGTTAAATGATACCATATTCTTGTAGTTTTGACCATACATATTTTTTCAGGGAATTATTAGCTTCTCCTAGAATATACAGTCCACGGCAAAATTATAAGACGCACTCTAAGATTCTATGTAAAATCTTTATTATCAGGTGATACTATTCAGCTTTATTGTTTTTAAGCGGATGAAACCGGTTTGCACTAGTTTACGGTCGTGTATCATTTGGTTATATTAGACGACATATAATATAAATTCAACGATTGGATACATTAGACGATATATTATATAAATATAGAATATTTATCATATCAAGTGCTATATTAGTATATTATAATAATTAGACCAAATTATTAAACGCATACTGGTTTTTAATAATTGCATGTTTTGCACGAGTTTATAGGCAATACTCTCATATTTAAACATACATGTGATGGGGTTTTATTCAGGATATTTTTATATACTTCCTATTTGTATTTATTTTTAACTAATTGCATTACAATGTTAACCAATTGATACACAAACGCAAACAAATGCAAACCGGTTTCAACCGCGTTAAAACAACAAAGTTGTATAGTATCATCTGATAGCTAAGATTATACATAGAATCTTGTAGTGCATCTAATCATTTGGCCAGGGACTGTAGTCGAATGATGTTACAGAAAAGACAACAAAAAAAATACCCTGACGGTAAAGTTCCCAGAACAACATTCATTTGACCAATGGTTAATAAAAATTGTTAAATATTTAAAGAAAAATTGAATCATGAGTTAAAAGTTGTTCTTACGTTATGTTGATAGCTCCACTTCCCAAATTATATATAAAATTGGCGTATCCATTTTCTAATATTAAAGCTATGAAATCTCCTTTTTTATTCATGAGTTGACCATTATAGAGCAGCATTCCGTTTTCCATTCTTGGATAAAACCATATCTCTAATGAAAATGCATGTTTTGCATTCTTTAATGTTGGCATTTCCAAATACGAGTTGTTTCTGAAATCTGGAACTCTCATTCCAATGGAGTGCTTTTTGGCTGAAATATAAAGACACATTTATTATATGAAGTGCTTTTTTATCACTCGCTCTTAACTTAAATTTTTAGAATCTTTATTAAAATTAAGTAGCTTTAACCGCTTCCCTTATTATCCCGAGTTAACTCGTGATAATCAGGATAGATTGCAATCAGGATAATCAGGATAGATTTGCATAGATTGCAAATATTTATTATCCCGAGTAAACTCGGGCATGGCAGAATTGTTCAAAACGTACTGTTTTTATTCAGCCGGAAGAAAAACAAAAAAAAAAAAAAATAAAATAATAATCTGCTGTGATTGGAAGTTTGCCAATATTTGTTTGGGAGTTTTGCTATTTGTGGGACTGCAGACGTGTTGTACAATTGTATAATCTTTTGTACAATTGTATAATACGATGGTGGATGAATGGACATAGAAAAAAAAAGTTTAAAAAAATGGCGTTCGCGAGCGAAGGGGAAAGTAATGCAGATGATTTTTCAGATTATGAAGATGTGAACATAATACAAAGACTAATATTTAACTTTTTTTCATTTGCCCGAGATCATTTGGGACAGTAAACTAACTGATGGTAAATTTAATATTTTTTACACGTAAAAAAATTAAAATTTCAACTTAGAACTTGTGTATTATGTTTTGTTTTAGTTCCTTGTATTCATAATTTAAAAAAATCTGTCGATTTTTTGCATTTTTTTAGAAAATTGGTTAGGGGAGCGATTAATCAACATATTAAAGTAAAGCACTGCTGTGTCGGCAAGTTGTTGGCGTAGGGCAGTGTTTCCCAAAGTGTGGTACGCGTACCCCCAGGGGTACGGGAACAGTTTCGTGGGGGTACGCGTTCTGATACGAAATATCAACAAACGAAAATTTCAAAAAAGTTTATTTGAAAACAAAGCTAGCCATGAAAATTTACGATTACGTATTTTTCTATTGGCTATTTTTTGCAGAGTTAACAGTTAATAATGAGTGGCATCAACAGCTAGTTGCGTTTTTTAACCATAGTGCAATTTTTTATAGTAAAAAATACATTAATTTTTTTATTAGTGGTAAACAGCGTTACGAGAAAGGGTGCACACAAGTCATAAGTTTGGGAAACACTGGCCTAGGGGGTCATGGTGTATAGTTTCCCATAATTTCCTGACCGATGAGATGATAGTGACAAAGTGGAGAGCTTTGCGCGCCAGCCACTTTTACCACCCAAACAAACTAGTATTTATCTATATGAAATCTGGTGGGTTTCAAATCGCATCTATTAGAACCCTGATCATTTACAATGATAGCTAAATGACATAGCCAACATGCTATCACAGCTCAATCTACGTATTAAACGTTAATTGAATCTATATTTTTATGATAAAAAGGAAATATGTTATTACTATATAGCGAATTATTCTCATAGTCTAACACTTTTAAGATAGGATTGAAACCACTAAAAGTATTGTTTTCATAATATATTAAACGAAATTATTTTTTTTATTTTTGTATTTATAGCCTACTTTTTCCATCAAATAATCGTTTGGTAGATTTTAATTTCATTTGTGACTAGTTTCCTAAGAGTATATGGTAAGGGCAGTGCATAAAAAACACCTTATAGGACACTGATCGTTAAATTTACCGACTTACGTTTGTCGCATAATTTTCCTGTTCGTCCTTGTGCACATTTACATGANAAAAAATGGCGTTCGCGAACGAAAGTGAAATCAATGCTGATGATTTTTCAGATGATGAAGATGTGAACCCATACAAAGATTCATATTTAACTTTTTTTCATTTGCCCGAGATAATTTGGGATCGTAAACTGATGGTAAATTAAATATTTTTGACACATTAAAAAAATTAAAATTTGAACTTAAAACTTGTGTATTATGTCTTGTTTTAGTTCCATGCATTTATAAATAAAATAAAAATATGTCGATTTTTTGAATTTTTTTTTTAAATTGGTAAGGGAAGCGGTTAATCAACATGTTAAAGTAAAGCACAGCTGTATCAACAAGTTGTTGGCATAGGGGGTCATGGAAATAGTTCCCCATAATTTCCTGACCGATGAGATGATAGTGACAAAGTGGAAAGCTTTGCACGCCAGCCACTTTTACCACCCAAACAAACTGGTATTTATCTATATGAAATCTTGTGGGTTTCAAATTACATCTATTAGAACCCTGATCATTTACAATGATAGCTAAATGACATAGCCAATATGCTATCACAGCTCAATCTACGTATTAAACGCTAATTGAATCTATATTTTTATGATAAAAAGGAAATATGTAATTACTAAATGACGAATTATTCTCATAGTCTAACACTTTTAAGATAGGATTGAAACCACTAAAAGTATTGTTTTCGTAATATATTAAACGAAATTATTATTTTTTATTTTTTGTATGTATAACCTACTTTTTCCATCAAATAATCGCTTGGTAGATTTTAATTTCATTTGTGACTAGTATCCTAAAAGTATATGGTAAGGGCAGTGCATAAAAAACACCTTATAGGACACTGATTGTTAAATTTACCGACTTACGTTTGTCGCATAATTTTCCTGTTCGTCCTTGTGCGCATTTACATGCAAAACCTCCATCTAATAGTTCTTCACAAACTGATCCTTCTCCACAAGGACTTTTACTACATGGATTTTTACTGAATTCACAATTATTGCCTGAAAGAAAAATGTTTATCTTATTCAAAACATTATCCATTAATCCTGAAAGAGGTTTTACTATGATTATAATAAATTCGTCTGAATATAATGTAGTATTCAGTTACTGCCCGTCAGTTATTTAGTCAAATACACAATTACTACTAAACTAATATACAATAATATACAATAAATTAATACAATTATCGAAGATTTTTTTTTCATAATCTGTATTATATTCATAATAACTACTCAAACAATATTTTTCATAGGATTACTACAAAATTCAAAATTATTACCTAAAGGTGTTTTCGTATAATTACTACTAAATGTATAATTATTTCCAAATGTATTTTTTTTTTACATTTCTGCCTAAATTATTACCTTTAAATGTTTTTAATGTAAATTTTATTTTCAAAAAAGATGTTACTATATACGAGTGTGACTCACATATTTAGAAATGGATAATTTTGTAAGGAAAGATTATTGGTGATCGATATCTAAATCGTATAATCGTAAAATCACAATGCACGGACATAGGTTACACGTTTAAGTAATTTTCTTATAATTAATCTTGCAAATATTAAAAAAGTTGTGAAAGTTTTATTTTTTGCGAAAAACTAATTCAAAATTTCTTAAGATAGATATTCAGTGCGATGAATTCATTCTGCATTAATTTTGAAACGTATTTAGGATTTATTTACTAATCCTGCTTGTTTTCTATACAACAAAGTTATTTAAGAAAATAAAACTAGGATTAAGTAATATATGTTTGCAGATGTAATAACGTTGAAATAAATTGTATAAGTACCTGTATAGTTTTGAGTACACTGGCATTTGAAGTTGTTTTCCTCATGAGCGACGCAAGTCCCACCATTTTTACACTGCATCATACTACATTTATTTTTTGTACAATCACCTATATAATATATTACAAACATTAATTGAGCAAAGTATTCTTTTGCATTTTTTTAAGAAAATATAATAACTTTCGAACATTATTTGCTAATACAGTATACTCTCAATACCTCATGGGTTAGAGCCCCTTTTCCGTCAATCTAAACATGGGAGGTTCTCGTGAATTTTCTCTCCATACTCGTTAGTCCTATCAAAAATGCCCTCCACAAAGGAAAAATCTCTCTTAATACTTGATCCAGAAGTTCCCTTGTCTGCTGGATTGGGTTCAAAATTACGAGGCTATGGAGTTGAAAATTAGAAATCGTAAGCCCATAAACTGGGTCGGCTGTTCAAATATCTCAAAGTTGAAAAGACGCTAAAAAATTGAGATGGCGAGTCTTCGAGATAAAAAGTTCAGAGTTTAATATGTTCCAAAAAGTAGAAAAATATATTCTAAAATATGACTATAAAAATTAAGTCATGAAATGTGGAAATAACTTCTAATAATTATGTATGCAATGATATGTAGTTGATTATAAGTCTAAATACAACTACTTTAATTTTAGTTTTGAAAGTAAGACAAAAAAAAATATGCATTAAATAGAAAAGTATTGGTTTATAATAAACTTAAATTGTGATTTTTCTGAAAAAATTAATTTTCCATTTCGGAAAAAATTCAACATAACAAGGTTTTGTGAAGAAACTCGTAAGACTAAGAATTTAAATTAATATTAGGTAAATATATAATGCCAAGGGAAATTTTTTTTTTTTTAATAAGAAGGTTGTCAAGAGTATACTGTACTTGCAAGAAAAGAATGTAATGGATTTAACCTTAGAGGAGTAATTTAGGTAGAGAGAACCAGTCCCCCATCCCTCGTTGCAAGGAACATCGTCACGTGATTCCTGGACGATTTTCCCTCCAGTAAACCTTCTCCCCATTCTTTTCCTATGGAGGTAAATTGATGAGCTGTGTTTTTAACTATAAAATTTTAAAAAAATGGTGGTATACTGCTGTGCATTTGGATGCAACAAAAAATTCATTAAAGGAGGACCTTTTACATTTCACAAGAAAGATTTTTATTCTTTTATATTCACTTATAAACATTTATTTTCTATTTATATGTTAGCACGTCAAGTTATGGAATGAATTTAATTGGTTTTTAACTAGCAAAATAGCAATTATTTTTTTATATTTTTATTTAAATTAATATATTATAATGTAGTTAACATTGATAGGCATTTTCATTACAATTAAATTTCATATTGATACAAATATTCTGATATTTTTACTCCTTTTCTGATAAAGCGCGTGCATCGGATTTGGCGCATTTCTTTCACGCCAATGTTTGCAAACAGATCGCTTTAATTTTCGCTCTGTAACTTTTATTGATGCATTAAAATAATTTTTTGTAATAATTTCAAGCGAATTTAATTATATATATTAAATGATTTAATTATATATTTAATACATTTCATGCAAAAAATAATTTTTTGGATCAAAACTAAAATTATCTTTTAGAAATTCCGTTATTAAATAAAATTTATAAGCCGAAGAATATATTTCTTATTATTTTATTATATAGGAAAAATTGTTTGGATATTCATATTTACTTAGGAAGCTTTATATTTATTACTGTACATTTATTATTGAAGAAAATATTAACTAGGTTATTATAGGTTCTATTATTAATAATAGGTCCTATTATTAAATAATTGTTATAGGATTATAAAAGGTGTGGCTATTTATTATTATCATTATATGTATTTAATTTTGATTTCGAGAAATAAAAAGGGAATCATTCTTTTTTTGAATATCAATTAATTTTTTTAATATAAAATTACAAGTAGCTGTCGAGAGCTATCAATGTTTCAAACAACTGGTAGACAGTATGTTCTTATATGGAATTTCGCAATACTTTTTTTTAAAAATAAGATAAAGGGACAAATAACAAGACAAAAATTTGGTATTTTAATTTAAATACTTTCATCATGTTATGTTAACTCACTAAAATTTTAATTGTATGCATTGGTTGAAATAAATTATTATCGCTGATAACACTGATAACATATTTTATAATTCATGTCAGAATGTAATATAAAAAAGACATGATGTATTTTTAAAAATTAAATGTATTTCCTAACTTTGCAAATTACATTTTATTTCTTTTTCCTTATTAAAATTTACAGATTATAAAGTAATGACTTAGAAAATATTTTGCATATCAAGCCAGAATGTTGTATCAAATGGATAAGATGATTTTCTTTAAACAAAGATTGACAATGAAAATATATTTCTTAGTTCAAGCAGTAATGTAATATAAAACAGAGTGATAATGTTTTTTTGTTTTTTTTACTATTTAAAATAAAATATTGATATCTAATTATTTTCTTGCTGTTCTTTAAATTCTATTGAAGTAAGTAGTTATTTTTTTTACTTATCTCTTATGACGTTTTGACAGAAATAATTAATACCTATAATCATTTGCAATTAGTTCTTTATATTTTAAATGCTTTCAAATGTATGTTCGATTCAAAAAATCATTATTTTCATTTCATTGTCTGGCAAAGTCATACTTAAATAATATGTTATTAGCTTTTTATGATTAAGCAATTAAAAGTAAATAATTAAATGTAGCACACATACTATAATGTATTTTTATTTAAAAGCTTATCTTTTACAATCACGAATAAAATTGGGAAAGCATTCAAAATAAAATGAAAGAGAGAAAAGAATCTTTAGGTACTCTTGAAAATATTCCTGTACGATGCGACCGCCAGCTATGAATTTTTCGCCAAAAAGGAAACCCCCATCTTGGAACAAGTTTTCAGAGCCCAAACAATAGACTGGCTCTCTCTACCCTAATATCTCCTCTAAGGATTTAACCAAATTTTTGGTTAAAAAATGTAATATTATAATGTAAACATTATATTTCTAATCATTATTATTAGAGAAATTTATATTGCCTTACTTATTCCACGACTTGTCAGTATTTCCTTTGAGGATGGAAATTTCAAATTTACTTCACGTCGATCAATTTTCAAACGACGTATACAACCAACAAGACCCTGATCAACTCCAATGTTTGCAAATATTCTGTGAAGCAAAAACATTTTAAGTTTTTTTACTATAAACACTGATCAACAAAGTTTTAAACAAACCTGATCTCCATTTAAAAAAAAGTCAATTCTTACTTAGGTCAACAAGGAAAAATTTTATTTTAGCTACTTTTTGTTAAATAATGAAAATTTTTTCACCCATATAAAACTAAAATTAATTAATTAAATTTAATTTATGAATTAATATGTGAAAAAACTGTATTAACATCAGGTGTCATCCACAAGAAGTTTTAAAAAAATGCATTTGTAATGTAATGGATGAATAAAAAGTATTTCATTAACGATTTAAAATTTCAATAAGATATATAAATATACATATAGGGAGAGTGTGAACTAATTTAGGAATTGAAAAAAAAAGGTGCGGGGTATCTGGCAACTAAAAAAAGTATAAATTTGGTGACGTGGACCACACTTGCTACCACGTCATGTTCTTTATTGAATTTATCTGATACAGCGAATATAAAATAATTAAATATTGAAATGTGTGCAATAAATTGATTTAATAACCGGAATAAACCGATCCGATGTTTGAAATGGCAATTTTTCGAAGCATCGGAAATTGTGATTCACTGAGATGTGTACGATATTTCCCGATGCCTCGTTGACATCGATATCTACACGCGTGATGTTGAGCCTTGTTCTCGATAGTACATCGATGTCTGCAAGCTCGCGCAAAGAGCATTTTCTTCAGTAAGAGTGCTGTGATTATCGTTATCTTTCCCCGTCTTTTTCACATCGTGACTCATCGTTTTGCTGACATGATGAATCCGAATGTGATTGAGAATTGTTATGGAATGGTTTACTTTTAATTGTGTGTGTGTGCAAATCATGTTGATTTTTTTAGAATCAATCCAGCCGTTTAATGTTTTTTAACTGCTATTTTGCAGATATCGACGTCTTTAAGTATTGAAAAATAATTATGAAACGCTGATTTTTAAAAAATGAAACTTGCTAATTACGAATTTACGCAGTACTAAATGTAAAACATTAATGTACCGAAAACATCACGATGCATCAAAATATCGCGATGTTAGCGAGACGATACATCGTGACCCCAAAATCTGAACATCGCCCAGTCCTAGTGTCTTATATTCTTATTGCTCATAGCCCTCCATACACTTTAAAACTGATTTTATCAATTCCCCGAAAATGTAATTCATTAGACTATTTTAACATGTTTTTCTATTACCAATCGAAAAATTCCTAACTATTTGTAATTCCCTCATAAAGATTTCACGACATCCTAGTTTTTATGTCTTTTATATGTAGTTCTTCCTGTTAGTTATTTTTGAGTTAACCATAGATTTTAGCATCTTATTTAACTGAAAATAGGGCAGTAAAATTTCATTTTGCTCATGTGGGATTTAACTAAATATTTAATACAATTTCAACAGAAAAAAATTAAACTCGTTATTTGAGCTTTTCATAACATAAATATCCAATGGTAATATCACCCAAATAGACAACAAAAAGATTAAAAATATATATTAAATTTGTCTCTATGTAACTATTATTCATATTTCAATAGAAATCCAAGTTATAAAAGCATACTGAGTATAGGGAATACATATTCTAGAAATAAAAAAAAAACCATCTTCAACTATACTTACATTTTAGAAAGTCCGGGTACGTAACCAACATATAGGTTTTCGGTTAAATCTAAAGATTTCAGAGTCCCTTGGCTTCTACCAGATACGTTTTCTTGGTTTTCTATTACTAACATTCCATCTTTATAAAATCTTTTCGCAATAACTTTCACGAATTTTCCCAGAGGAATTCTCTCTGTTGATCGCAATGCAACAGTTCCACTTCCCAAATTATATCTAAAAACAATGATTTATAGCTTCAAAAATGGTCAATATGAAATACACAGTTTTATTTTAGGAAGTTTGGAATTATATTTTAGTTTTAATAACATTTTGTTTCATTCTTCTACAAGTTCTGAATGCGTTTTTCGAAAGTAGAAACTAGCCATTTTGAATATCCCAGGTAAACATTTGGTACATTATGCTATTTTTAATTCTAAGAGTTGCAAATTATGCAAATACACATCGCGATGGAGTGTGAAAAAAATTATCGTCCAAATGCAAAATTAATGAATTATGCAAAGGCAAATCACGACGTAATGTTAAAAAGCTATTATTCAAATGTAAGATTCATAATTACGTATGTGCAAATCACGACATTGTGTTGAAAAATTTTTGAAATACAAGATTCGTTAATTCCGTAAACGTAATTCACGATATAGTGTTGAAAAATGTGGGATTTATAAATTGCGCAAGTGCAAATTGCAATGTAGTTTCAGTAAGCTAGATTGATTTATCTCGTGTATAAGACTCACGATATAGTGTGACAATATAACGAAAAAATAGCTTTAAAACACGATTAACTAGATTTAAAGGTATTAATAAAAAGATTCGAATATTGTAATTTGAAAGCCACGAAACTTTGTGTTGTCTTATACTGTATTGTTTTTCTAACCAAAAATGAATAAGTAAATAAAATAAAATGGTCTAACAAATTGATGTCTTATAATTTAATAGTAATATGAAGTCTAAGCTGAGTGATTATGAATTTCGATATTCTAACAAAACGATATTCTAACAAAACCATTACGCGTGTTTTTTCTTTAATAGTTTTGTTTAATTAATAAAAACTCTAAATTCGATATTAAACATTTTGATTATTATTGATGTTAATTTAAATCTTTGTTAATGCTAGCTGTTTTTATAATTTAATCTTTATGTAAAATATTGATAATATTTTAAAAATAAGTATAAATTTTTAAATAAGTAAGTTTTTATTAATATAACTTATTAAATATGAAATAAAAATTAATACTAAATAATTATTAATTTTTATTTCATATTCTGTAAATATTATTCTTTTATGATTATCGTTGAATAATTGTTATTCACTTTATTTTTATAAACATGTTTTTAATTAATATTAAATTTTATTTGAAGTTTAAATAGTAGTAGTTATATTACTATTGATATTATTACTAGTGGTAGTATTAGTAGTAATAGTTATTGAAGACTAATATATGGAGTAGTTATATTAGTCTTCAATAACTATTAATTTTGATTTTTATAAACAGTTTCATTTACTATTGGCAATGGTAATATTTATAAAAATCATCAAAAATTTTGCTTTTTATCTTTTTCTCTGAAATAAATTGCATTAAGATAAAATATTTTAAATATTTAGTTAAAAAATGAAAGAATTATGAAACAAATTATGTGCTTCATATTTAATTCAGAAAAATGTTAATCAGCTGCAAAAATTTTCAGAGTTTCATAGTTTATCTTTTCAAACTAAATAAATGAAAAGAACTGAAACAAGACAATATCAAGACAAGGTGAATTAAAAACTTATTTTTTAATAATTATAAGAAACTTAAACTAGTTTCGATATAATATTTGTGACATTAAGTCACAGCCTAAACATCCATTAAAAAAAATTATTTTTTTGGCTTAAAATTTCCAGAAATTCATGGAGTTGGATTTAAATAAGTCCTCATTTACATAACATAAGCATAATAATTAAAGAATGAGTAAATTATGCACAACAAAAATTGTAATTTGCTAATAAAGAGAACACAAAAAAGTAATAAAAAATATAAATGAAGATACAGTACCTAAATTCAACAAATCCATCTGTAATGCTTAGTGATATGAAGTCTCCGTTTTTTGTTGATATTTGACCATTATACAACAAGATTCCGTCTTTTGCAAAAGTCTTGAACTCTATTTCTAGGGACATTTTAGAATACGCTTCAAGTTTATACAATTCCATGTATGATTTTCCAGTAAATGACGGGACTTTAACTTCTGAATGAAATTCTATGAAAAGAAAAGTTTTATGCTACAATTCTAAAATTCACGGATTAATATAGGGTGTTTCTTAATCAGCGTTCTTAATACAGATGTTTTAAATCCTTGTCAAAAATGAAGACTATATTGCGAACATGCAAGCTACGTAGAAACAAAATCGAAATCTTTCGAATCATTATATAAGAAGACGATATAGAAAATGTTAACCAATTTAAATAACAGAAAAAAATATAGTATTTGAAAAGTAGAATTAACTCCAAGCTTCAAATGGCAGTTAAATTGGTTTTTATATTTTACCCCACCTTCCTCAATAGTGATTAGACAGTATCGATAATATAATTCTTGCTTAAATTTCAATTCACGAAACCTGAAACGTGGTAGCTGAGGAGATAGGGCTCTCGTCTTCGAATGCTGTGACCCAGATTTGAATCCTTGTGATGGGTTGTAGATAAATTCAGCATTCGGTTCGCACTGACCATATTGCTGACGTAAAATATCCTCAGTTGTCGACGGATCATGGGTTAAAGTCCCTTTTGATGTCATGATAACAGTGGACAATTTTCATGGTTTTTCTCTATATGTAGCGCAAATGTGGATTAGTTCTATCTAAAAAGTCTTCCAGGAAATCAAATTTCCCAATACTTGATACAGGAGTTCCCTTGTCTTCTGGATCGGGTTCAAAAGTTCAAGGCAGCAGAGCAGAGCATTGATAGTCGTAAACTTCGAATTGGGTAAGCCGTTCAATGCAGGACAATAAAATAAGATAAAAGTGAACCCTGATTCTTAATTTTTTTTAACTTTATTGTTGACAAGGATTTCAAAAATACATATTAAGTGTAGTCATTACGAAACACCCTAGTCTTAAGCAATTTAATTAAAATGCTTACTTTTTAACAAATCCATATCCGATTGCTTGTATACTGTCGATTCATTCGCAAATGGTGAGCTAGTTGTCATGTACAGATTTTGAGGAAAATTTGTTTTAATGGTCACATATGATGAAGTCTGTTTGAAGTCAGGCATTTTACCGTAACTACGTCTTTTGGGTATTCTAAAAGGAGAGTCTGTGGTGGTCACATCTGAGTCTCCTAAAAAACAGAAACCGAATTTAACTCTAAAGCGTATCAGTAACCAAAATTTTCGTTATTAAAAACGTGTATTTTGTCAAGATTTTGAAACTGCGTTTAACCATCTATCATAGTGAGTTGACTGAGTTCAGTGTTCTTATTCGTTTAAAACATTAACATTTAAATGAAACCACATTTTCAGGATCAGAAGTTTTGAAAAACTCACAATGTTAGGCTTATTATGGCACAAATACTTTTAAGCTTCGTGTTCATGTACAGAAATATGCAAACTACGAACAATAATTATGTGAACCAAACAATACAGTTGCTTTTTTTTAAAAAAAACATGCATGAGTTTATTAAAAATAGCGATTGGAAAAATGCAATTCTTGGGGAGTTGTCATGAAAAAAAGACTTGGCTCACACTGGCCTTCTGAGCCAGGGATTATTATTATTATTGAAAAATAGTTTTTTCTGTCAAGAATTATTTAAAATTTCCGAAATTTGAAATTACATTCGTCCTAGTTTTACAATCAGCAAAACTGCATATCTTTACTATTTCGTAAAAGAAGCTATTAATTTTAAAACACTTTTCTTAATTTTTATTATTTTTAAAAAAATAGAACTTAAATATTTTCCATTATTCATTCCTCCTTTATCTATAGTATATATTTAATATGATTGATCAAATTATTTATGAATAAGTTAATAACTTTTTACCTTATTAATTTTTAATTAAACTTGATTACATTTCGGCTTTTTCGGGTATCCATGGAATGGTAATTTCATATAAAGCTTTCATTATTATAATTACTTGTTTGACGTTACGTAGATTTTTAATAATATACTAAGATCGTAATTACATTTTTACGACTCAATCCTTGCCTAGTAATAATAATGAAATAAAAGATACATTTTTTCCGGAATATTAAAAAAGATTATCAGAATTAATTTCCAATAATAATCAATTATCCCCTCTAACAATTTTTTAACGTAAAGTTTTAAGTAAATTATATTAATTTTATGATCGAAAGGCACACTCTCATTGCAATAAAAATTATCACTGCAATACAAGTAATAATAATGTTTTTGGTGATAAATGAATAATAATAGTGGTCATGGATAAGGAATATCTCTTCATTCATTTTACTTAACCAATATTATTGTGTTGTCTTAAAAATGTTCGCGAAATTCGAAGATAGAAATTTATAAATTTATCATTAAATTCAAATGCTTTGACATCATATTATATTATAAAAGAGCAAAACCACGGACATTTCTGGAATAAAAGGAATAAAAATAGTTATCTGCTAATGAAAATTCTATAATGACAAAAAAATATAATTACATTGATAGTTATACAAATGAGTCACTTACATCAATGCAATAAAATCAAAGCAATATAACAAGAAAAATAAAGATAATAAATATTCTTTCATTTTTCACTACCATAATTGGTTTGTTATTTTAAAAAATTCAAAACAGTGATGATAGAAAAGATTATTTTTAAATTCAAATACTTTAACGTTTACTTTAGGATATTGCTTATTTATACCTCGACCCGCCCTATTCAGGGCACACGAGGGTAGAACAAACTTTACTTTACTTTAGGATATACAATTGCTTGATATAGAACCTTCCTTATGCAATAAAATACATTTAAAAAAATAGAATTTGGTCATTGATTAATTTAATCAGCAATTTAATATAAATACCAAAACATTTATTTTTACTTTGAAATTGAATCTCCTAACAAGTTCAAAATTTACAAAAATTATCTTTTAATAATGTGGAATTGATATTGAAATTTCTCCCAATACTAGATCAAGAAGTTCCCTTGTCTTCAGGATTGGATTCAAAATTACAAGGCTACGGAGTTGAACATTAGTAGTCGTAAACCCAAAAAATTGGGTTTGCTGATCAACGACTGTTGTAAAGTAAAATAAAAACCTAAGGAACTGTCAGCCGTAGTTTGTCATAATAAAACTACTATCCTTACGTAAATATCCCTTCCTGCACACTCCATGGTATCTAATGTTTATGGTTCTCATGTTTATGGGTCTCAGATATTGGAAACTGAACGCATCATTTGGCATTCTGAGCTCTATGTGTTGTAATGATAATTGTTTCATACTCAAAGCATGTATAAACTAATAACCATAAATTTTTCCATTATTTTTGTTAATACAATCTAATCAACTGTGCGCCTTGAGTTTAAAAATAAAATTACTTTCCTTACTTAAATATTCCTTCCTCCACACTCCATAGTATCTAATCTTAATGGGTCTCTGATATCGGCAACTGAAAGCCTCATTTGGCATTCTAAGCCTTATGTGTTGCAATGATAATTGCTTCATACGTGCCTTATAAATCAATTGCTTCATATCGAAGCCGGTATAAGCCAATTATCATTGCATTGCCCATTATTTGTGCTAATGTAGTCTAATCAGCTGTGAGCTTCCAGTTTATGAAAATAAAACTACAATCCTTACGTAAATATCCCTTCCTCTACTCTCCATAGTGTCTAATGTATATGGTTCTAATGTTTATGGGTCTTTGATAACGGCAACCGAAAGCCTCATTTGGCATTCTGAGCCTTACGTGTTGGAACGATAAATGCTTCAACTGGCCTTGGGTTTATTCTGGAAGCTGGTATTATTATTTTGTTCACTATTTGTACTATTATTATCTTATAAACTGTGAGCCTATAGTTCATTAAAATAAAACTGCTATTCTTACTTAAATATTCCTTCATACAGATTCCATAGTATCTAATGTTTAAGAGTCGCTGAATTCAACAAATGAAAAGCCTCATTTTGCATTTTGAGCCATTTGTGTAGAAATGATAATTGCTTCCTGCTGGCCTGGGGTTTATTTTGGAAGCTGGTATTATTAATTTGTCCATTATTTGTACTATTATTATCTAATCAACGGTGAGCCGATAGTTAATTTAAATAAACTACTATTCTAACTTAAATATTCCTTCCTCCACACTCCATAGTATCTAATCTTAATGGGTCTCTGATATCGGCAACTGAAAGCCTCATTTGGCATTCTAAGCCTTATGTGTTGCAATGATAATTGCTTCATACGTGCCTTATAAATCAATTGCTTCATATCGAAGCCGGTATAAGCCAGTTATCATTACATTGCCCATTATTTGTGCTAATGTAGTCTAATCAGCTGTGAGCTTCCAGTTTATGAAAATAAAACTACAATCCTTACGTAAATATCCTATCCTCCACTCTCCATAGTGTCTAATGTATATGGTTCTAATGTTTATGGGTCTTTGATAACTGCAACTGAAAGCCTCATTTGGCATTCTGAGCCTTACGTGTTGGAACGATAAATGCTTCAACTGGCCTTGGGTTTATTCTGGAAGGTGGTATTATTATTTTGTTCACTATTTGTACTATTATTATCTTATAAACTGTGAGCCTATAGTTCATTAAAATAAAACTGCTATTCTTACTTAAATATTCCTTCATACAGATTCCATAGTATCTAATGTTTAAGGGTCTCTGATATCGGCAATTAATAAGCCTCATTTGGAATTCTGAGTCTTATGTGTTGTAATGATAATTACTTCATACGTGCCTTATAAACCAATTGCTTCAAGTCGAAGCCGTTATAAGCCAATTATCATTAATTTTCCCATCAATTGTGTAAATGCAATCTAATCAAATGTGAGCCAAGAGTTCATGAAAGTAAAACTACTATCCTCACTTAAATATCACTTGCTACACACTCCATATTATCTTGGTCTCTGATATCTGCAACCGAAAACCTCATTTGGCATTCTGAGCCTTATGAATTGTAATGATAGTTGCTCCATGCTAGACTTTGGTTTATTCTCGAAGCTCGTATTATTAATTTGTCCATTATTTGTGCTATTATTATCTAATTAACTGTGAGCCTATAGTTCATTAAAATAAAACCTTCCATACGTAAATATCTCTTCTTACACACTTAATAGTNTCCATAGTGTCTAATGTATATGGTTCTAATGTTTATGGGTCTTTGATAGCGGCAACCGAAAGCCTCATTTGGCATTCTGAGCCTTACGTGTTGGAACGATAAATGCTTCAACTGGCCTTGGGTTTATTATGGAAGCTGGTATTATTATTTTGTTCACTATTTGTACTATTATTATCTTATAAACTGTGAACCTATAGTTCATTAAAATAAAACTGCTATTCTTACTTAAATATTCCTTCATACAGATTCCATAGTATCTAATGTTTAAGGGTCTCTGAATTCAGCAAATGAAAAACCTCATTTTGCATTCTGAGCCATTTGTGTAGCAATGATAATTGCTTCATGCTGGCCTGGGGTTTATTCTGGAAGCTGGTATTATTAATTTGTCCATTATTTGTGCTATTATTATCTAATCAACGGTGAGATGATAGTTAATTTAAATAAACTACTATTGTAACTTAAATATTCCTTCCTATACACTCCATAGTACCTAATGTTTATGGGTCAGTAATATCGGCAACTAAAAAGCCTCATTTCGCATTCTGAGCTTTATGTGTTGTAATGATAATTACTTAATACGTGTCTTATAAACCAATTGCTTCATGTCGAAGCCGTTATAAGCCAATTATCATTAATTTTCCCATCAATTGTGTTAATGCAATCTAATCAACTGTGAGTCAAGAGTTTATGAAAGTAAAACTACTATCCTCACTTAAATATCACTTGCTACACACTCCATATTATCTTGGTCTCTGATATCTTCAGCCGAAAACCTCATTTGGCATTCTGAGTCTTATGTTTTGTAATGATAATTGATTCATACTCGATGCCGGTATAAACCAATTATCATTAATTTTCCCATTATTTCTATTAATACAATCTAGTTAACTGTCAGCCATAGTTTATCATAATAAAACTACTATTAGTACGTAAATATTCCTTTTTACACATTAGTGTATAATGTTTATGGGTCGCTGATATCGGCAACTGAAAGCTTCATTCGGCATTCCGAGCCTTATGAGTTGTAATGATAATTGCTCCACGCTAGACTTTGGTTTATTCTCGAAGCTCGTATTATTAATTTGTCCATTGTTTCTGCTATTATTATCTAATTAACTGTGAGCCTATAGTTCATTAAAATAAAACCCTCCATACGTAAATATCCCTTCTTACACACTCAATAGTACGAAATATCAGTGGGTCTCCTGTTTATGGGTCTTTGATATCGGCAACAGAAAGCTTCATTTTGCAATCTGATCCTTATGTGTTGGAATGATAATTGCTTCATACTGACCTTGGGTTTATTCTCGAAGCTCGTATTATTAATGTGTCCCTTATTTGTGCTATTATTATCTAATTAACTGTGAGCCTATAGTTTATTAAAATAAAACTACTATTTTTATTTAAATATTCGTTCCTACAGCAGTCTCTGATGTTTATGGGTTTCTGATATCGGCAACTGACAGCTTCCTTTGGCATTCTGAGCCTTATGTGTTGTAATGTCTTGGGCCAATTGTTTCATATCGAAGCCGATATAAATCAATTATCATTAATTGTCTCATTATTTGTTTTAATGCAATCTAATTAACTGAGAGTCTATAGTTTATCAAAATATTTACGAAAGCCTCATTTGGCATTCTGAGCCTTATGTTTTGTAATGATAATGTAATGGGTGCCGTATAAACTAATTGCTTCATATCGAAGCCGTATAATATCATATATAAACTAATATCATGTATAAACGGTGTAATATCATGCATAAACCAATTATCATTAATTAGCCGATTATTTGTGGTAATGCAATCCAGTCAACAGCGATTCTATAGTTTATCAAAATAAAACTACTATCCTTACTTAAGTATCCCTTCCTGCACACTCCGTAGTGTCTGATGTTTATGGGTCTCTGATATCTGCAACTGAAAAGTCTCATTTGGCATTCTGAGCCATACGTGTTTCCGTCGTATCCACACACAGGATCTCTACTGTCTTCTGGTGAACATTTAAAGTCACAGCTGCATTGGGGTTTCGAGTCCCTCTCCACACACCGGGCACCGTGATAGCATTCCAAATCATCACAAGATTCTACCGTTGTATTCACTTGAGATTCTAGGAAGGAAAAAAATCAATCGCAACATTAAATTTCATTTTTTTTTATTCTTGTCACATTTACTTAAATGTAAAGAAGTCTTCCAGAAGGTTGACTATAGTAAATGTATAGAATAAATGAGCCCTATAATAGAATTAGAAATTATCGTTTTCTTAGATCCACTATTAGGATATACTTAAAAATCGACTTTTTCAAGTAAGTACAAATGCTGAGTATTTACAATGATGTATTGTGCGTTTAAACAGGCTTTGGCATGCATTAAAATTCTTTATGTATTTAACAGCAAGATTTTCGGAAGCAGATTAGTTTTTGATAGTTTAAACTGCAGCAATAAAAAATCTATGATCATTCAGTTTTTTAAAACCTTATGAAGTGAATCGTTATAAGGTGTACCAGCTAATTGACAACTCGAAATATGTATGTAATATAACAAAATTACGATTTTCTTTATTCGCACACACTGATTAAAAATCTTTTGTTAACAGGCTTCCCCAAGGAAATTCACACGTATATTTATAATTGTGCATTGTGTGATTGGTAATTTTACAATGCAAGATGGTTTGCCATAATTAGAACTTTCGTATCTAGTTTTTACGCAGTTTTTGTTGAAACCCAACTAAACTATCAACAATTCTTCCAAAATGTTGACGATTTCAATTCTATGTATTTTATAACGGAATTACGAACCGTTAACTATGTTCCATTTGTTACAAACTACTTCAAATCTTACTTCTGATACAAATTAAAATATTCTGATTCAGATATTAATCGCCAGGTTGGAAATTGGCATTCATAGTTGCATTATATTATGTGCAGGGCCCGAGCTAAGCATTTGCCAACTCGCCAAATGTGATGAAATCGTAAATTTGGCGAATAAATTGCGTTTTGGCAAAAGTATTGGCGAATGATTTTTTTCCACTAATAATAAATTAAAATTTTGTCAGAATGAATTTTTCTAAACAAATCAGTAATTTTTATTCGATTACAGTAATTTTTGGAGGATACGCTGCAACCAATTAGAATTGGATCCAAATGATATAAGTTTGAAACAAACTACTGCAAAATAGTTTTCTATGGAAAAAAATGAGTCATATAAAAATTGCATTTGGCGAAGACTTTCGAAGATTGGCGAATACTTTTTGATATTTGGCTAATTTACTGGCTAATGATTTGAAATTCTTAGCACGGGCCCTGCATCTGGTGCATATAATTACAAGGAAATTTTTGGACACTGGTAATTTATTTGACGATATTAATCATAGTTAGAGCTTCAAATAGCATGTTTTACAACAATAAAAAGAACGCTTTTAAGAACGCTAAAAAATTGCACCTAGCTTTGCATTTAAGAAACTTAATCTAATACTCTCTACACTTTTTCTAATAAGTTTTAAACAGTTTTGTGCTGTTTTTAACCGTATTTCATCAGCTTTCCATTTCAAACACTTGTTTTGGACTTAAAAAGACCAACCTTTATTTATGAAGTAGTTATTACTTACTCATAATAATTAATATCTAAATTATTTCAGTTATTTTCGAAGTGTTTGTTAGTGATTTAGTAACGGAAAACAATATAGAAACTGGTCATTAATATTTTATTTTGATTAGCATTTTTATTCATTTCAAATTTTTTTTTGTCAATTTTTTCCGGAAATATTTGACCTAAATGGTAACATATTAGAGAGAAATTTCTTTAATGTAAGAACTGGAAGTATGAGCTTAAAAGTTTTCATAAACATTAAAAAATGTTATTGATAAAAATATTTTTCATTAACTATTCGAGCACTCAGCAATGCAGAATTGGAAAAGTACTTGATTTAAAAACATTGTTCTCATTTTTTTAGTAATCAAAGTTTTGGGTTATTTTATAAAAAATATCTTTTTTTTTAATTTATACAAACTATTTCAATTTATAAAAACTATTTTAATTTATACAAACTATTTTAATTTATAAAAACTATTTTAATTTATACAAACTCTTTTAATTTATACAAACTATTTTAATTTATACAAACTCTTTTAATTTATACAAATTATTTTGAGCAGCAGGTCATCACTAGCTATACATTTTAGGAAAATATGATCGCCTTTTTAAAAATAATTAAACCATGTTTTGCAATTTTATTAGTATTGTTCACACATAATTTCACTGTTTTTTTTTAATTTTGGAGGTACATTTCTATGCGACAGTAGACATTAATTAGGAATCTTTATTGTATTTAAAGTTGCAGAGCATACAACCAAGTGCTAAGCAAGAAAATCGGCTGTTAAATGATCAAATCCCACTCATGGGGACAAAAATTCAGAATCGCACTTACCATCCATGCATCCATCAGGACCAAGAATCGTACCCAGAGGACAAAGATCACATTTCATTCCCTGAATGCCATGTTTACAAACGCATCTTCCCGTGTTTTGTTCACAGTCGTCTCGTATAGATCCATAAGGGTTGCAATTGCAATCTGTAAATTATTTCTAATGAGCATTTTTGCAAAAAATGAAAATTATAAAAATAATTTAAAATAACTGAGCGGCATAGCTATTAAGATTGAAAATAAAAGATTACATATGAATGATGAAAATTGATTAAAAATTACTATTGCGATTTATTATTGAAATTATTGATGGAAATCATTGAAAACTGCTGTCGTGAAAGTTTCAGATATTATTTTGAATAACTTATTGTGAATACGTATTGAAAATGACGAATGAGAATAACTATTCAAATTTACGAATTAATCATGAAAATTACTAATCGGAACCAGTATTGAAAGTTACTAATGAAAATAATGATTGAAAATTACGAATGTGAATGAATATTGTGAATTACTTAAAGGAGTCACTATCAAAATTTAATAATGGGAATTATTATTATTAAAAATTAATAATGTGTACTGGTATTAGAAGTTGTTGTTGAAAATTACTAATTAAACTATTAAAATATAAATTGAAGCTTTAAATATTAGACACGAAAAATTCTATTAAATGCTAAAAAAATTAATATTATAATGAAAAAATTTAAAAGTGAAAATTTCTAAAGTAACGAAAAAAATATACATATTAATAAAAAAATATTCTCGTACCTTAATATAGAAAATTACTTTAAAAAAATTACTGTTTTTAAAAGTCTATATTACAAATTTTTAAATAATTAAAATTTAAAATGAAATAAAAAATGATAATTGGTAAAAATTTTTGAAAAATTGTCAATTGTTTGGAATTAATTAGAACATGTAAAATTACCAATGGAATTACCAATTATGTAGAAAATTGTTACGAAGAAAGATTTGAAAAAATATTCCATAATTACTTACAAAAAATAAATACTAATAAAAATGACTAGTTATACAAATGGGCAAACAAGCATTTAAATGATATTTACGGGCACATCCGCTATTTCCATTTAATATCTTGTGTAATCCCCAGTAACCTGGTTCACAGCGATCACAGCGAAGTCCTCCAACTCCTGGTTTGCAAGGACATTGCTTCGATACCGGATCACAAGTTGAACTGTAAGAACCCAATTTATTGCAGTTGCAAACACCTAAGAAGCAGAAAGTAACACTTTGAATATAGTATTTTAACTAAAAGAAATAGCGTACAGCACGTAAGAAAGACAGAAGTAAAATATATTGCCAGTACGTAATTTGGTAGGTAGTTAACATAAGTTTTTGTAGGCATTGAACTTAGGCCTTGTTTTGAAGATTGATAAAAAAAATTGAACTGTAAGACCCCAATTGTTTGCAGTTATAAAAGCCTAGAAATGTTTCAATGAGGTGAACCGGGTTCGATCCTGTCGATGGCTGGTCGATACGAATTCCGCATTCGGCTCGCACCGACCACAGTGTTGACGTGAAATATCCTCTATGGTAGACGGATCATGGGTTAATATAAAAATAAAATAAAAGGGAATTATAAAGTTAAGAGAAATCATACTCAGCATGGAGAAAAAACGGCGATAATCGAGGTTACCTGTAAGCAATTTAGTATTTAATTACATACAGTGTTTTATAGGTATTTAACATAGTTTTCTGAAAAACTTCAGCAAGAGGTGTGAAAAGAGAAGGAAGTGCCTGACCAGGTCCGTACACTAAGAGATTATTATGCGTACGCTCGAGTCCGTACAATTTTCCCCGTTATGCCTAATTTAATTTAAATATTTATTTAAAATCATTACTGCAATTAATATGCTGAAATTTACAGTTTATAATTACTGATAGTGTCTGAATTTACTGTAGTGAAATGACCACGATATAAAAAAAAAATGCAATACTGATTCAAAACATACAAAATAGTATCTAGCAAACAGCAAACACCTACGTAAACCAATGAGCATTCCATCATTTTCACACTCTGTTAAAATATAAACAAATACCCAAAATGTAATAATACTCTTTTATTTTATATTTTATAACCGTTGAGCAGCCGACCCAATTTTTGGGTTAACGACTACTAATGTTTAAGTTCGTAGCCTTGTAATTTTGAACCTATCTAGAAGACAAGGAAACTCCCGGATCAGTACCCCCTGAGGTATGATTTGTTATGGGAAAATGGAGGACTTTGTGAAACAACAGATTTAACGTGCATCTGTCACCCTTTACTGCACGGGGAGTCTTCGGCTGCCCCACGACCTCCTGGACATGGGCCCAGTGCCCTACCAACCAGGCTATCCCGGCCCTTGTCCAAGCCTTTTGGATGAGCTGAACACGCGCTGTTGTTACCCACCTTTAAATATCCAAGATTTAAAAAAATACTAAAAACTGAAAGTGCATATTGAGTTAATCCTCTATAATTTGTATTTAGAATGGACTTCAACCGCCATCAAGCGTTCTTTTATTGAAATAAAACGTTCATAATAATGATCATGGGCTGCTTGAGTCAGAAAGACTCCTCATACATGCGATACCATAGGACGTGAAGGGACCGTACCATGAAGGGGTTAATAAAGGTAATACATATGAACATCCCTTTAACACATTACTTACTAGGACAACCACCATTATTAGGTCCTTGCACAGGATTCCGGTGATCAGGGCAGCAACCAAATGGCGTATCTTCACAACTTTTTATTAAAGGAGCTGAAATATTAAACAAGGAAAATGTTAACACACAGAGCTAAATCATTTTTCCAAAGTAACGACTTGACACAGAATACCACGACTGCTAAGTATTATTGATATTTAGCAGTTTAACCCTAAACATGCGAACACTTAATCTATATCTATTTCTACCATAGCCGGTCAAATGAAAGGACTTTGTTTCTTGATTGAATGCATGAAACATGGATGCTAGGAAGGAAATAAACTAAAAAAAAAGTTTTATTACAATTAAACAAAATTGTATATTGCCAATTTTTATGTATTAAAAACACAAAGAATATGAATTTTTAATTCATTGCTCAACACATTTTTTACATATACAGGGTGTTTCCATTGTACATTTTCCCCAAACATATTTCTTCTAATTATTATTAATTCTTACATATTCTTATAATTATAAGAATGTGTAAGAATTATAATTCTTATAATTAATATTATTTCTTGTAAGAACTTGTGCTCTCTTAATTGTTTCGACATTTTTTCTGGGTAGAAACTAATAGTTAGTTAAAAATGAAGCTAAGCTATCAAAATAAAATATAAGCTACTTACCAAAACCTTTTTGTTTTTGTCACTTTTTCTTACACAAAAATATGCCAATCTAACATTTTAGGTACTTTCTTGGAGTTTGAATTCACAGTTATTCCGATTGAACTAACTACGCAACAGTATTTGCAGAAATGTGCAAACAATCAAATGCAATACGTTGAAGACGCATTACATCATAATTTCTGATAAGATAACCGGAGCAATAAATTTTTCTTCCAGTCAAATGACCGGTTGTGGAAGAAGTAGGTATGCGACAAGTACTATTCGAAGCACACAAAATACAAAAAAAAACAACAACATAATAATAGAATATTAACTGTATTAGTAGAAAAGTCTTGAAGTCAAATGTGCATAAACGATAAGATTATAAGCGCATTTTCGATGCAAAAGTTCTTAAACGGTCATTTGATCGATTATGTTATGTTTAGTGTTAAAATAATTGAGGTTAAAATTCTAAAAACAAATTTTTAAATAATCACCTGCTTTACAACATTTGGCGAAATATTCAGTAACATGGCATACGCTACCAGCAGGGCATAGCTTTGAAATTGTTCCCGTCTGCCCGATACCTTTGCCACAGTAGTAATCTTTTCCCGTTGCCGGGTCTGTTACTGGTGGTTCGCCGTCACATGGTATATCGACGTGATCTATGAACAGTGAAATACATAGTTTATAATGTGTATCACTTTCAATAATAATATTTTTAATGTTGTGTAAAATGATTCATAAAAATTCCATTTTCTGAAATATGGCAAACACATCAACCAGAAGTTTTTGTTGAACTATGTCATTAATAGCTTCCGGTATTTCTTTTGAATTTCTCCATCAGGTTTAAAGAGAAATTTTAAAGCAATAAAGACCTAAATTTGCAGCCTAAATAAGCTTAAGGTTTATTTTGTTTTCATAATAAATTTAAAAAAAAATTTTTTTTCAAAAATTTGTTTCGAAATTTTTTCTCACTAGTGCAATTTAAATGAAGATTTTCGAAGCTTTAACTAGAAATGGTTTTTTTTCTTAATTTTAAAGAGGTTGAAATACAGTTGTATTTTTTTTTCATTTTATTGCTCCTTGCTTAGTGATATTTGTAATTAAAAATTAAAGTGAGTAAACTCAATATGTGCTGTAAAATGGAAAAAAAGTATATTCAAATGCTTACACTCATATTTTAAAAATTCCTATGCAATACATAAAACATTTGTCCTATGCAATGCATAAAACATTTTATTCACAAGATATAAATGTTTTACTTATCGTTTCATTCTTTCAAAGTGTTTTAACCCTAACTTTAAAAGCCTATTAAAAGTTGTTTTAGTCTGCAGTATTTTAAAAGCCTTGGCTTAAATTAATATTTAGGATAGCTTTCTATTTAAAAAAACCTAATAATAAAAATAAATAAATAAATAAAATGACATTAACATCAAATGTAACGTTTATATAATAGCTAAATCAAACGATAAGAACAAAAATGCAATACTATAATTCACTTATTATTCATTTTTCTATTTTTCTTATTCTTTTATTCTAAGTTTTCATTACTAAATCAGTTTTAAACAGTTCATTCTTCTATTTTTTCTTCTCGATACTAAACAGTTGAAATTTCAATTGACAATGGCTAAAACAACAATAAATAATAGTTTTAACTAAAACTTTAAAATTCTAGCAACGTTATTTTAGTCTGCAAAATTTAAAAATGACTTAGCTTTATTTAATCTTGATAGATTACTACTTCAAAAACTATAATATGACATTAACATTAAATATAACGTTTATATAATTGCTCAATTTATTTGCAATCTACTATTAAATCAAACAATAAAAACAAAAGCGCATTATTATAATTCACTTATTATTCATTTTTCTTTTTTTTTCCTTCTTATTGCGAAGACATGTGAAATTTCACTTGAAAATAATTCCGAAAACAACAATAAATAATAGTTTTAACTCAAACTCATTATTAAACAAACTAATTATTTAGCAAAGTTATTTTAATCTGCAAAATTTAGAAAAGACTTAGCTTGAATTAATCTTGATAACAGTTTTCTATTTCAGAAACTATAATATTACATTAACATGAAATGCAACGTTAATATAATAGCTCAATTTATTTGCAATTTGATATTAAATGAAACGATAAAAACAAAAGCACATTATTATAATCCACTTATTCCTCATTTTCTATTCTAAGTTCTCATTACTAAAACAGTTCTGACCAGTTAATTTTTCTATTTTTTCTTTCATTGCTAAAACAGTTGAAATTGCGTTTGACAATAATAACAGCAGGCAAACATTATTTCTCACCAACACAAACTTCGCGTGATGATGTCTCTATTCGCTTCTGTAACAAACATGACTCTTCTCGCATTCTGCATTCATTATCATACATTCGTCCATCTGACCCACACACGGGTTCCTTAATTGCCGGGCAATGGAACGTGCAGACACAAAAAGGAGCTCCATCCACGTTGAAGTCACAAGTACCCCCATATTTGCACTGTTTATCTTGACAACTGCTAATTTTCCTTTCCTTCAGAGCTGGTAAATTGCCTACAAGAATAGAAAAAAAATTGGTTCTGAAAGTTTCACAAACACTACTCTAGGCTCATTATAGTCTGGTAATTGTTCTTGAAACACCTAGAGCAGTACTTGGCGCAATTTATCATTGGCTGTTTTGGCGGCAGATCGTTTATATGATTTAGTGGCACTCGGTATTGTTTTTGTGAATAATTCAAATGAATAATTTAGAACGTAATCTTAGGTGGATGCCTTTTTCCATTTGGCTCTTGGAAATCTTTTAGAAGTACAATGTAAATCAAATTCGTATTAGTAATTTAAAACAAATTTTAGAAAAATGACCTCGGCTAATATTCGAGAGTTCGTACTCATAATTAAAAACAGTTATTTCTAAGTTTAAATTTTTGATGTGACTTCCACCTTTTTTAAATACAGTCGAACTTCTATTTAACGAACTTAAATTTTGCGAATTTCTCTATTTTGAGTTTTTTTTTTTGTCGAGGAATCAAGAATATTTTGGAAATTTCCTCATAAAATAACCTTTCTTTGAGATACCTTTCACGAACCTTTCTTTGAGATACACTTTCCCTATTTCCCAAAATATTTCCGAACATTTCAAAAGTATTTTACGGGGACCTTGAATTGATTTACGAAGCCACTTAGCTTATTCCTTTCCCTTTTTGCTTGCATTTCAAACGAAAATCTCAGACAAAATTGACGGATTTTATCAGTAGCAATTAAATTTAAAAACGCATGTGGTAATGTATGTTTAAAATTATTTTTATAATAAATGCAGCTATAATTTTATACATAAATTTAGTTTTTTGTTAGTTGAAGATGTATGTAGCAAGGATACAATGGATAACGTTTTGCTCTATTCTTGCTTTCCATGCAGATTTCTTTTATGGTTAAGATGTATAAAATAAATAGTACATACTAGTGGAGAAGATCAAGTTGTATCAATTGCTATTTAAATTATATCTAGTGTTTATGAATTGAAAACCTGTTTTGTGTTGTTTAATGTACTTCAAAATATGATTTTCATTTAGCGAATTTTCCATATAACAAACTTCTTATCTGGATTTTGCAGCTTCGTTAAATAGTGGTCCGATTGTATACTTCTTAATAAATTTTGAAACAATCTTGAAAAAAGTATGTATTGTTTATAAGCATATTCATTATTTATTTATCTGAAGAAATCAACAATTAAATCAATATTTGATCAGAATTGCACGCATTTTGAATATTTAACTTTTTCGAGTGTTAAAAAGAGTACTTTTTTAACCCATGATAACTAAATTCAAATCACCTTTTTTAACTGATTGAACGAGTAACTCATCATTTCGCTCATGGTATACGAACTGTAGAGTGCTTATTTTTATTTATTTTTCTTCCTTATTTATAAGTTTAACAAATTAAAGCAATTTTTTAAAAACCCTCATACATTTTATATTAAAAGGGTTAATTTCACATTTTCTATACTTAAAGACGTTAAACTTTCTGTAAAAACTAGACTTCACAAAATTGGATAAAATATGCATTGTAATTGTTTAAATATCTAATGTTTAAGGGTTTTTCATTCTATCTATTTAATTGATTTAAGGAATTAAGTAGTATATTTCAATAGCTATTTTTTTAAATCAGACTACATTTTTTCTATGTAGGACAACATAGTTTCAAAATTTGGTCCCACTTTAATTACTTTTTTTCTCCATGAAATTGGAGAAATATTTTAAAAATATAATGCCATGAAGTAGCATGGGGAAATTAATCTAAAGTAAGTGAAAACCATCAGACATACATAATTTTTCTTAAAAAACACAAGGAAAAAATAAATATAACATAATACATATATAAGCAGAAGAAAAGAACAAACAAAATGTGAACGAATGAAAACGAATATTTATATAAAAACAACAAAAAAATACAAAAACAATATAAATTCAAGAAAGGAAAGCCATTCTTGAATTTAAGAATAGAAAAATGTACATATATGCCTGCAAGGAAGAAAAAGATATCAATAAATTCAAAAATTTTGATGGTTTTCCATAGATGAACCATCATAATCTTGATGGTAACCATCAATAATTCCTTTCTAAGCCATTTTTGATGGTAACGAACATAAATAACCATCACCCCAATGTGAGAATTGGGACTGATTTATGAGAGTCCAACATAAGAATAGCTACATGTTTTGATGGTTTGCTCATGTTAAACCATCAGAAATTTCCATCATAGTTTCTTAGAAATTAAAAATTGAATAACCATCATCCCAATGTAGAGATTTGAACTGATTTATGATAGGCCAACATAAAAAAACCTTCACGGAAATTTATAGTTTGAACCATCATGGATTGTTGGTTCATGAGAATCAAACTTTTCTTAATGGTTAACCATCATAGTATTAAAGTAGCATTTTCTCTCATGGAAGTTTGCTAGCATATCACAAACCATGAAAGCATAATGGAAAATGTAGGATGATGGTGACCATCAAATGATGTTGGACCATCATGAATCGCTCTGAAACCAACATGGACCATCAAAATGATTTGATGGTACCATCAAGAATTTTGACTAGGGTACACCTATATAAGCACACATACACACGTAAACAAGAAAACCCTAACCTTCCCTAACCGTAACTGAGAAAGCGAATGAATTGCCTCATAAACAGTTCAGTTAGACTAGAGCTTCCCTATCTTTATCGCCACGGACCAATCAACACTTGATAATTTAACCGCGGACTCTGAGGGATGGGGTACATTGGTTGTTTATATTTTAGATGGATTTGATTTAACAATTTAATTGTATTTAAACACGCACGTTCGGCATTAGGTGACGTCTCTCTCTGCTCCCATGTAACCTCTCGTCCATAGAAAGTCACACAAAACCGAGAGAAATACACCAATGTAAATAAATGCATGTGTTCTTTGGGTGGCCCGTGCATTAAGAACCACTACGCTTGGCAAAGAGCAGTTAGAGTCTAACTTTGGAGATTATAAGCTGTGAGAAGGCGCTCGCCTTAAGAACTTGTAAATGAAGTACGATTATTTGTTAAGTTTAAAATAACTTGTTAAATGTCATTAAAATTTGTCTTTGCTTATGAAATGATCTGAAATACGCACAAAGCAAATTTAAGTTAATATTAATCACGACGCAAAGAAACAAAACAAAACACTCAACACAAATATAAAAACATAACAATGGATGAAAGAAATGTAAAAAAAAAAATAGTGCCATGTTATTCAAAGTTTAGAAATATAGCAATGAATGAAAGAAATGCAATAAAAGGTATACACGAAAAACAGAAGAAAAAAAAACTAGATGCCTACGAATTCAAGACACACAAAAACACAAGGTGTTAGTATACAATCCCTGACCAAATTATTAGACGCACTATAAGATTCGATGTAAAATCTTTATTATCTTTACTATACACCTTTATTGTTTTTATGCGACTGAAACCGGTTTGTACTTGTTTACATTCGTGTATCAATGGGTTAAATTAGACGATACATAATATCAATTCGAAAATTGGATTCATTAGACGATATATTATATAGAGTATTTATTATATCAGGTATCATATTATAATAATTGGACCCAATTATTAGATGTACTGTAGTGTTTTAATAATGACATGTTTTGCACGAGTTTATAGGCATTACTTTTATATTTAAACATACATGCAATGGGTTTTTGTACAGGAGATTTTAAAAACACTTCCTATTTGTATTTATTTTTGACGTATTGCATTACAATGTTAACCAATTAATATACGTACATAAGCAACTGTAAACCGGTTTCAGTCGCGTGAAAACACTAAAATTGTTGAGTATCACCTGATATTTAAGATTTTACATAGAACCTTGCAGCGCGTCTAATAATTTGGTCAGGGACTGTATACAATAGCAAAACGCAGGAATAAAAACAAGACACTAGTTCTGTTAGAAATGAAAAAAGGATCAGTAACACTAAACATACCACCACTTAATATATATGCCTATTTCTACCATAGCCGGTCAAATGACCGGATGTTATGTTTCTTGATTTAATGTAAGAAATACGGATGTTAGGAAGAAAATAACCTAAAACAAACTTTATTATAATTAAACAAAATTGTATATTTCCAATTTTTATGTATGACAAACACAAATAATAAGAATTTTTAATTCAGTTCTCAACGTATTTTGCTCGTATACAGGGTGTTTCCATTGTACATTTGAACATTCAGTTTTTGTCACTTTTCCTTACTCAAAAATGCCAATCTAAAATTTAAAGTACTTTCTTGAAATTTGAATTCACAGTTATTCTGATTGCACTCACTACGCAACAGTCTTCGCAGAAATATGCAACTCATCGAATGCAATACGTTGAACACGCATGACATCGTCATTTCTGATCCGATAACCTCATAAAGCAATAAATTGTTCTTCCGGTTCAATGACCGGTTGTGGTAGAAATAGGTACACGACAAGTATTATTGGAAACAAAAAAAAAGTACAAAAAATAATACTAATATATTTACTGTATATAATTGTTAGAAAAAGTCATGTAATCAAATGTGCAAAAACGATAAGATGATAATCACATTTTCAATGATCAAATGACGTGAACGGTCATTTGATCGGTTATGGTATGCTAAGTGTTAAACTTATTCATCATACATTTTACCACATACCTTCTTCGACTCCTAAGTTTTCAGGAGCTTCTTCACAAGCTCCGAAAAACTGTACAGACAAGTCTCTGCTTTTCTGACAAGCGACTCTCTTCATTTCGCATTCGTTCAAATAAGTTTGGCCATCATTTGCACACACGAATTGGCGTTGGTCATTGGCGAAACTATGCGGACAATCTGTAGGACACACACATTTTCCACTATCACATCGGGCTCCATATTTGCAATGAACGTGGTCACATTGTTCTGCAAGTGAAAAAAATAATCAAATAAATGGTTATTAGTATATTTATTTATTATTCTTGCATAAAAGCTATTGTTTAACCATGCACTGAAGTTCGAACTAAATTTCAATCATTTTAATTTCTTTAATAAGAGTTTGGGTCCTGTCATTCCGAATTCTTATATTGTGAGTCGGAAATTGTTCATTTAAGACAAAGTACAGTTCCTGGCCAAATTATTAGATGCACCATATGATTCAGTGTAAAATCTTAATTATCAGGTGATACTATACAGCTTTATTGTTTTTACGCGGTTTGCACTTGCTTACGTTCGTGTATTAATTGGTTAACATTGNTAAGATTCTATGTAAAATCTTAATTATCAAATGATACTCTATACAGCTTTATTGTTTTTACGTGACTGTTTGCTTTTGTTTACGTTCGTGTATCAATTGTTTAACATTGTAATGCAATACGTTAAAAATAAATACAAATAGGAAGTATATAAAAAAAATCTCCTGAATTAAACCTGTTACATGTATGCTTAAATATAAAAGTATTGCCTATAAATTCGTGCAAAGCATGTAACTATTAAAGCACTACAATGAGTCTAATAATTTGATCTAATTATTACAGTCTAATAAAATAATACCTAATATAATAAATATTCAATATTTATATAATATATCGTCTAATGTATCCAATCGTCGAATTTATATAATATATTATCTGATTTAACCCATTGATACACGAACGTAAACAAGTACAAACCGGTTTCAGTCGCGTAAAAACAATAAAGCTGTATAGTATCACCCGATAATTGAGATTTCTCATAGAATCTTATAGTGCGTCTAATAATTTGACCAGGGACTAAATTTTTGTGTTTTATTTCGTAACTAAAAATGTTGCCTGAACTAATTAATCAGCATATTTGAGGTTGCTCCCTCGAACCATTAAGATTGAGTCGTAGAACGTGAAGATCCGATCATTACATCAAAAGTTATTCTTGGTGGACCGTTTTCTTTATTTTGCGCACTGTTCATAACTTTGCTTAGGGTAGTATAACCAACGCGTGGATCTATTTCTACAGAACAATCACAGAACTTCTAATAAGTTGCATCTAGGCCGTGTGTCCCTAAATTAAAGTGGTTTAGGGATTTAGTGAATATTTTTAAAAGCAGCGAAAATACCTTTTTTAATAGATAACTCTTTATTTTTTCCACAAACAGTACAAATAAACGTATCTCACTTGTTAAATGAAACTAAATCTTTAATTCATTAACTAAATTAAGTCTGAATAATTTTTTCGCTGCTTGAGAAAAATTGCAAGTTATCAATTTATAAATTCTGAATTTTGAATTGATATCATATTGATGTATTCATTTTAATTAAATGTTATACAAAACAAACAAGGAAATAACATAGTTATTAATACTTAATACGTGATGATAAATAAAAAATTCTAAATTATATCTGACATAGAAAACCATCTTTTATTAGTCAAGCTCAGATTAATTTCTAATCAGGTAAGCCGACATGCGATATATATTCTTAAATTGGTTTTTCTGAATCGTAATATTATATTTTTCGTTCCCCGAACTTAGATGGATCATATGTTTAATTTTATTGTTGCATTATTAGATTGTATTCATAATGTTACAGGGCTGTTAGCTTTCTACGCTTTTTGTAAACATTTATTCTAGTCGTAAAGAAGTTTATTGTATTATTTTTATTTATTCATTTATTATTCATTGTTATTTCATTATTATTTCATTGTTAATTTCATTATTTATAATTCATTTATTTATACTTATTTTCCTCGCCATAACATATAAATGAATACTATATGAAATATCTTGCGAAAAGCTTAGTAGTTGGCAGGCCTGCTGATGCTACATTGCATTCCTCCAATATTTTATTCTTTAAAATATTGCAATTACTAAATTATTCCAAAAAAAAAAAGGTTAATCTCGTTTTTTTAACAAGTGAAATGAATGCCGCCATGCTTACATATAACGTCGTTAACAATAAATATTTCAAGATCATAGAAATAATACCCCGATTGATATTTAACTTGAATGCGATGATTGTGTTTCTGTATTTAAAAAAAAATCACGAATGTATTATTTGTGAAAAAATTTATTCAATTGCTAATGATCTTGAAAAGCATGAAAATATGTATGTAAACTTATATCCCACCAATTTTTATTAATATAAATCTTTAAAACCTTTTTATTTAACCGTAAATTACAACTTTATCAAATTCGATAGAGAAAGAAACTCCATCTACACAACTACATAGCTTTCCAAATTGAGTGACAAATTAAATATCAATTGTTATCTATAAAAAGTTTCTATAAGAGAAACTACATTTTTCTTGAAATAGTAATTTATTTTTTGTAATGCAAATTTTTTTTAAAATACAAAAAAAGATCTTAAAGTGAAAATAATTCAATTGTTATTCTATGCCTGTTATTTTAATAAAGATTTAAATTCAAATTATCAATAAATTTTAATTATTTTTAAAATGTTCTCATTATATATTTGCAATTTTAAATTATCTTGAGATAAAACTTAATTATCTTCAAACAAAGTCACTATTTTTTGCGTTTATTTTTCCAATATTTTTTTATTTAATCATGAAGAATAAATTCGAAGTAATCATTTTAAAAAAGTAGCTAATTAGAACTATAATGAAGACAATATTTTCTAAACAATTCATGTTTCAAAGAATGCTGAATTTTTTTCGTTTATAATCATTTATTATAAACACACAAGTAAGGAATAATTGGTTGGGTAATTTCTATTTTTTTCTTCCATGTTTTGTAAAAATTTAATCAAGAAGTTTCAGTAATAGAAAATTCTTTAAATTTAGAAACAGTACAGTGTAAATACAAATAATTAACATTTCTATCACATATACGATGCAAGAATAGCTAACTTAATAATGCTTTCAAAACAGCTCTTTACGTCATGTTTATAATATTTGTAATTTTTTCTGCATTTATCTAATATCTTCTGAAAAAAAAAACCATTCAAGGCTTTGCGTCATTCACAACTTCATTAATAATCATTAATTGAATAATGAATGACGATATACTTTTATCTATCATTCATTGATATTTTATATAAAGTTTTTCTCGAAAGTTTTGCCTCCTTTTCGTAAATATTATTCATCTAACCCAGTTAATATCCATTTTTTGTATCATCGTCAGACTTAGTTTAGCAAGCCATTTAGTTTCGCTTCTTTAAATTCACATTACAGTTTAAAAATGACAAAATATAATTGATTTTTGCTCTTGTGTTATAAATTACAATAACAAATGCCTGAGCCGCGATGGGTCAGGAGATAGAGCGTTCGCGTTCTAATGAGGTGAACCGGGTTCGAATCTTCAACTATGGCTGGTCGGAACGAATCCGCATCCGGCTTGCACCGACCACAATGCTGATGTGAAATATCATCAGTGGTAGACGGATCATGGGTTAGAGTCCGTTTGCCGTCATGTTAACCGAGGGAGACCGTCAATGCTAACCAAATTGAACTCACGATATTGGGTTGCGTGTATACAGGCCAACCAAATTGATTTGTTGAGACCCTTCATCCTGTTGCCATAAAAAACTGACTTTGAATAAGTATGGTGTTGGCTGTTCTGTCTCGACGAGCTGTTGACATGAGATATCGGTCATTATTTGCTGTGGTTGGACGTGGAAGATCTTGTCCTGGACGACGTCAATCATGCCCTGTTTCATGGAATCTATTCCAGTCTTGCAATGACCACTTCTAGCCATTTCAACGCTTCTTCGTGTTTGCCTGTATTCCAGTGTACCCGTAATATATGCCTAATTATGAATTCTGGTAAATCGTGACATTTCTAAGTACATTTTTCTTAAAAGTTGAATTTTACCACTGAGAAAACGAAAGACTGCTGCTTTTGCCCATAAATTCTTCTGCTGGTTTTTGTCATCATTAAATTTTTTTTTTTGCTTATAAAATTTACTTATGCTGTTCTCATATATACTTAAGAGTATGGATATTTTGTTTCAACTTAATTATCGGAAGAAATATTTGCTTACGTTCGTGAAATTCATGTGCTCCTGTAATTTTTTTGAGCTGTGTATATCCAAACATAACTGTAAATGAATTTTAAATATTTAATTTTGAGTACCTATTTTAGTTTATATCGAAGAAAAGTTTTATCATTAATAATGTATGATGACCCTTAATAATAATGTATTCAAAGTAGTACCAATTAACTATTCAAAAAGTATAGTAGTAATTTACAAAATTGGAATTATTTTTAGTAAAAATAAATGAAGGAAACAAAAGTAAAGTAAAAATAAATGAATGAATAATACATTCTAAAAAAATGGATTATTTCTTAGAGAAGTGGGGAAATTCATCCGGGAGTTATTCTTTAAAATAACATTAATTATTAGAAATAATAAGGGTCTTGAATGTGTGAAAAACAAAATCAACTGCGATGACCAATTTTAACACGCATTTTACGCTTTGTCTAGTAAAAGAAATAAATCAAACGATTTTAATTTTCTTAAACACGCATTTTTTACTGTGGTCATGCCCATTGCCGACCGGCCTGTGTAGGGGTCAGGGAACTGGGCTTGCATCAGAATGTTTCTGTGTTCGAATCCCGGGAAAGGCATGGTTTCTCTTTCCTTCTCTGTACTATCGGTCCTTACAGGGGGAGCAACTCTTACCACACCTAATGTGGTATCCCTGAAAGAGTGGCCTACAGCTCTGCTCTTCAGATGTCTATATGACGAAAGGTCATTCTCCAGCTTGGCATTGGGGGAAAAAAAACTTTACCCATTTCCTTGAGAATTCTTTTTACTAGGTGTTTTTCGTTACATAACTTTTAAATTATGTCAACTTTCTTAAATATGTATTTTTAGCCGCGTTTCTCTTAAGAACACGCACTTTAAGTAGTTTCAAAAGTAAAAAGCTCACCGACGTTTGGAATGGTTCCTAGGGTGTTCAATATTTAGAGGGGGGTTAAATAAGAATATGGAATATTATTCGCAAACAGAATATTACCACACAATCCTTTAGTTGATACAGCTATGTACTGTTGCTTTTTGCATGCATTTACTCTCAGCTCACACTCATTTGGGTAGCTCACATTATCGGTGCCACAAACAGGAGCGTCAACCTAACATAAAAACAATAAAGAAAAAATAATAAAATAGGAATATTGGACTATAACTTAATTATATTTATTGGATTTATTTATTGGATTTATTGGATTGGATTTATAACTTAAATTATAAAAAATAATGAAATTAAAATAT